GAGAGAAGCAGTGAGGTCAGTGTTAATACCACGGACACTTCTGTCCTCGGTGAATGTTCAGCACCAGTTGCACAGCGTCAACGTTGGTAAGATGCTGTCTGCTGTGCAGCCAACAGCATCATAGCAACCAGTGATACATTGCCAGCCGGGAGATTTCTGTCATTGCCCAAATATAGCTATGGCCATATTTGGGTAATGTGGTCAGAAAACATCCCCCACCCCTTTTTGTTTTACATTCAGCTGTGGGCCAGACAATCTCCTGGCAGGCAAGTAAATGTGGCCGTGGATGAGTGATTTGATTGGGCTGATGGCGTCCGGTGTCCTGTTAACCACGAGCCCTGTGCAGGAAGCGATCACGGTCATGACCCATGTCCCAGCACAGAATGTCCCCCTCGGCACTGGCATCCCTCTGCACACCAACACCAATTGGTCCTAATTAACACCAGTTTTCTTATCTACAAACAGTGGTAATTCTTTTTGAATCGGTTACATCCATAACGACAGATTTTTAGTAGCGAAAATAAGAACTACCTTTATGTGGCGCATGTATTGGATACTGTATTGACACTACTGTAAGGCTTTTCTGAATTCGTTGCAGGCCAGTTGATAGGGGCCATGCCGCCAGAATAGTGTCGTAATTGCTTTATTGAATTTCCCCTAACTGTGTTTACCACTGACTTGGACCATGAGCTAAAGCAGATTTCATATATGAAGACATCTGGTCTTCTGACCAGTACTTTCAGTGCAGCTTACTCTGGCACAGTCAGACCTATGAATAAAGGTTTCTGCTATACTTCATGTCATTGCAATTACACATCTTCCTTTCTGCAGCCCCTCCCCCCAAGATACATATAGCTGGTTTTCAGCTTCTCACAATCTCTTTATTCATGATATAGAGTGATGTAACTGGCTGCTAATGAGAAAATAATGATCTTTGAATGTTGTGTTGTGTTGCAGGGCAGTTCATGCTCATCTTGTGAACAGGAAATCCTAGCATGGAAAGCTGTAAACCTAAATCCTTTCTGCTATAGGCATATAAGTGATGGAAGGTCTCAGTGGAAAGAGGTGTTAATAAGTGTTTGAGTCTTGAATTTACGGGTGTAGGCTGTTCAGGAGGAGCTTTGTATAGGATCACCAAACTGATTATTTGTAGAGCGTGGGTGTTGAGAATTACACCTTTTTTAATTACGTTTTTCGACAGTTATAAAATTTCTTTTAAGGCAGAATTAAACTGAACCTAGGAGTACATGCATATGAGAGATCTAAGAATAAGGCACACAGGCATTTTGCAAATGCAACACCAAGAAAATATAAAGAGTAATCAAGTTTTGGGAATCAATGCTAACAAAGAAGTATTTACCATATTGCATTCTACAAAATCTCCAAAGGTGTCTGTTGCTCTGCAATCCAGAATGTAGACACCCTAAGGCTGCTTTCACACTGATCTGTTTTTCTTCCACTTTATGTATTTAAAAAAAAAAAAAAGGAAAACATGCAACCATGTATTCCTATGGTACTTTTCACACTGATTCGTTGTGAGTCTGGTTTTTAAAAGTTCTGATTGCTGCTTGTTTGCAGTAAAAACACACCTCCCCATTGAAATCAATGCAAAATGTGGCAAAAACGCACCTGTGTAGCATTTTGGGGGCAGATTTTGAGTCCTGTGTTTAAAAAAAACACACTGCAAACGTGGGAAAAACACAGCAAAAACTCATTTTTGCTGCAGATCAGTGTGAAAGTAGCCAAAGAAAAATTATTATTGACCAGAAAAGCTTGAACTAATCCAGCCACCATATTTAAAGTCTAACTAAATACAAAACTTTTCAAGCTTGGAAAATAAATGTTTTTTTGGGACTATGGGTGTTTGTCACCATCACTATTAAATCACAATATTCGAGAACCCCTTTTTCCTTGGGATTTTGAAGGCAACATGTAACAAACTACATATATTTTTATAAAAACATCTTTATTACATTATTCCGACCTCTTCATGGACAAAAAGTCAGTAAATTATGAACAAAGCTTTTCACATACATAACTTTACATGTCCGTGTTTTTTACAAATATTCTTTCCTGTAGCACAGTTAGTTTCCAGAACTATACCTATGTATATATATTTGTGAAATTCTATGCAGTGATATCCCCAGCTAATACATATACAAAACATGTCCACAATGACACAGTTTGTTAGCTCTTAAGAGCTGATTAGGCCAGGGCATCCAACGCGTTTCGGAGCTTTTTTTTTTTTTTTTTTTTTTTTTTTTTCATTCGCTCCTTAGGGAAAATTATACCACTCTTCAATACAAGGTTCTAATCACAAACATATTACAATAATTAATCGTGAACTATTTCCCGATAAAAAAATTTCTTACATGTATCAACATCTTAGGTATGAAGGCCATCTCCTGCAGCCATGGAGCAATAGACAGTTGCCACCAGTGCCCCGATGGAATATTCACAAGGACTTCTGAAACCTCACTTCCCACGGTTGTAAAAAGGATGATGTGGTAGTATCATTTTCCCTCCTTTTTTCAACCGTGGGCAGTGAGGTTTCGGAGGTCCTTGTGTGTGTGTTCCATCAGGGCACTGGCAGCAACTGTCTATCGCTCCATTGCTGCTGGAGATGGCCTTTATATCTAACAGAGTGTGCTACATGTAAGACATTTTCTAATTGGGAAATAGTTCACAATTATTCATTGTAATATGTTTGTGATAAGTGTAATTGTGGACATGTTTTGTATATGTATTAGCTGGGGACGCGACTACATAGAATTTGACAATATGTATAGTTCTGGCAGCTAACTGTGCTACAGGAAAGAATTTTTGTGACAAACATGGACATGTAAAGTAATGTATGTGAAAAGCTTTAATGATTTATTGACTTTTTTTGTCCTTGAAAAGGTCAGAATAATGTAATAAAGATGTTTTTATAAAAATATATGTAGTTTGTTACATGGTTGCCTTCAAAATCCCAAGGAAAAGGGGTTCTCGAATATAGAAACTTTTTAAGCTTTGGATGGTGGAGAGGGATTAGAATGCCTCTTAGGGTTTTTATTGCTGTCTGTGTCCTCGTTTGAGGGATTCACCCTATTTTTTCTGTTTTCCATTATCACTGAAATTGCAAGTAAAGGAAAACCCTCAGTTTGGGTTGTCACTAGAACAAGATTGGGGTGGAAAAATTCCAGTCAGGACGTTTGTTCTGGTGACAACCAAGGATTCCCTCACTTTGCTGGGATTTCCCCTCCCTTCCTATTGGTTATGGGACAGGAATTGTAAGAAAATGTCTTTAATGGGACACAGATGGGGGGGTTGCAACACTCCCCTACTCAATCCAAAATGGGGACAAAACCTTTTTACCTTTTTTAGTTCTGCTTTAAGGATTGTTAGGTTAAAATATTTTAAAGCTCTGCACCAACTGTTGGCGCTATATAAATAACTTTAATACAGTTTTTAAACCAGTTGTGTAAAAAAGTGTAAATCTATGTTGAAACGCTTTTAATACAATAAACAAATCTCATTTTCCAATACCTTTTGATAATCCCCTGCTTTACCAGAAATCAGGCTGAGAGAAGAAAGTGCTGACACCATGAAACGACTAAGCTCCCTTGCATTTCATGGTGCTTTCATCTTTGTTTTAGGCACTGGGGATGGAGGATGACTTCTTTGGGGTGGGAAAGAGCACAAGGGGGATCTTTTTTTTTTTTTTTTTTTTTCATGGTCATACCCACAGGGGGCAGAAGTAATATGGGAAGTTTCAGATTAAAATATGGTTTCACACACTATCTAGAATGTGTCAAGGATGTGTAAATCCTAAATGTGGGCAGATATTGTTAAAAATATTTTGCCAATTTGTTTTCATTATCCAGGGAGCATTAAATTGATTATCATGGCTGTAGAATTGGGCAAAGGAATGTAATAAGCCACTGTAATGGGCTTTCTCTTTGACCTCATGGTCTCTTTACCTTGCTCCTTCTTTTTCTTAAAAAAAAAAAAAAAAAAGTTGTTAGATTGCAGACACATTGGGATTGATTGGAGATGGTAAAATCTGGTGCAGCTGTGCATGGTAGCTAATCAGCTTCTAATTTCAGCTTGTTCAGTTAAGCTTTGACAATAAAACCTGGAAGCTGATTGGTTTCTATGAAGCTGCTGCCCATCGGTTTGCAGATTTTTGCGAAGCACGACGAAGCATCGGTTTGCACGAAGCATCGGTTTGCGCATCGGTATCGGCGTGCTGGTTGCAATGCGCTTTGCAAGTCGCATCTGAACAACCATCCACAGCCGAATCGTGATCCCCTTACAAGACAAGCGGGGCTGCCATTAATTTTGAATGACACTCCCATGCATCGCAGCCTGCAGCGCATTTGCGGTTGTGAGAACTGCATGGTCAAAAGACCATGTGATTTCTCTGCAGCCGTATTTTTAAAAGTGCATGCACCTTCTTTTTTTTTTTTTTTTTTTTTTTTCTTGTGTGAAAATACGGGCACAGCAGCACATTAACAGTTAATGGGTTTCTGTGCCTGAGCAAAAGGCCTTTAATAGTGTGAACTGAAAGTAAAATTTTAATAAATCAACCCCATTGACTCAAAAGTCAACAGAAAATACCAGAAAAAGAAGGCACTTTGGTACGCAAAATAAATCCACAGTGTTGAATCCTATAGAGCATGATTATTCTGGCACACTGTGAGCCAGTGAGACCCTGTTCTCACATCATAGGCTAATTTGGACACAAGATGTGTGCACAAGAGACCAGTGCTTCGAACAGAGCAAATGGCGGAAAACGGGGAGTGGAAGCAGGAGGTACAGAAGACCTTCTTGCTATCTTTTAAACCTCTTCTAATGTACTGCGCTTCACTAGTACCATGGGAAGTCTGTGTGTCTGCAGGTTTTGTACGTTAAATGTGGAGAAACTTTCTACTGTCTAACATCTTATTTTCTTGTGAGAATTCATTTTAAGTAGCCAAAGATCATTTTTCCCAAGACTTCAAGTCTGTTCCTTTTTTGCATTAGGAGATAAAGCCCTGGATGGCTACAGTAAAAAGAAATATGTATGTAAACTGCTCTTCATCTTCCTGCTTGGCCATGACATCGATTTTGGACATATGGAAGCTGTCAACTTGCTGAGCTCAAACAAATACACGGAAAAACAAATTGTAAGTAGTAATGCAAATGTCCTTGTCAACATTTTTGCTTGGAATCTATTTAAGTTTTTTTTGAAATGCAGGGGAATTTTTCCTAAACACACCAACTGTGGGCTGTCTGTCACATAGAGGACGTGTAATGTATCAAGGTGTTAGACCCTGGTTCAGTGGAGCTACTTCATCACAGCCAGATTTAAACCTCAGTTTTTAAATCTTGTTGCTGATGCATGAAACCTAGAGGAAGAATAACACATCACATGTGCTGTGAAATCTGGTTGCAGTGGGTTACAGAGAACTTAGTTTAAGTACATTGAGTGGGCTTTGTGACTTTAACACAGTTGCAGTGCTTGCTGAGCATTAGTAACTTACAAGTTGTCTTTGCTTGGAATTGCTCTGTAAAACACACCTTTCATTCAAGAATCAGCAGTGTCTTCCCTCTGAAACTTCTAGTTACTTGGCTGTCTAGCTTCGGTGTTTGTCACATGACCCAAAACAAGTATACAAATAATCAGTCAGATTTGTACTGGGTCAATGACAGTCACTGTTTTTGGTAATAGTGAGGAACCTTTTGACGTGTGTGTGTGTTTTTATTTTTAAAGAGAAACTTAATTCCCCCCACCCAAGGCCCTTTTTTTTTTTTTTTCTTTTTTTTTTTTTTCTCTCTCCTCCTACCTGTTAAACTGGGTTGTCCTCAATTTACATATTCAATATCCAGCAAAATCCAGCATTCTGCTGCGATCCACTGCTTAGGTGCCACAGCTCAGGACCTTCGCCCATCTTGCTTCTCTGGGTTGTTGCAGCCAGGTCCCCCATGACACACTCCAGGCCTGCCCAGTGGCCATTGTGAGTTCCTGTTCCTGCAGCATACTAGGAAATGTGGTGAGGAGATACCTTAGGAGGCTACGGGAGTAGATACATGTCCATGTCCACCTTTCCTAGGCTAGAATTGGGGGGTGAGGGAGGCATTAGGATATTTTCGTAGTAAATATTTACAAAAAAAAAAAAATTTAAAAATGTGTGTAAAACAAAAACAAGCTTATAAATAAATACTGCCACTGACTTTTCTAATTTGTGTTTCTTCTCTGTTCTAGGGCTACCTTTTTATCTCTGTTCTGGTGAATTCCAACAGTGAACTAATCCGCCTTATTAATAATGCAATCAAGAATGACCTGGCCAGCCGCAACCCCACCTTTATGTGCCTGGCATTGCATTGCATTGCCAATGTTGGCAGCAGAGAAATGGCAGAAGCTTTTGCATCAGAGATCCCCAGAATCCTTGTTGCTGGGTAAGTGCTTTCTAAAACCTAGGTGGGAGGTTTGCCAAATGTCAGCTAAAAGTGGACATCAGGTCTGTAGTGCCTTGCGTTTTTAAAGTAATGGCTTGAAATTAAATGTTCTGCTGGGCTACGTTTAGGGGGAGAGCTCTGGGTGGGCATAACCAGTATGGCAATATATACGTGCTGGCTGTGAACGGTGTCTGTTAACCAGCCAAACCGCACAGAAGCAGTGGCTAAATCACAGGATACTTTACATTATTTTACGGATCACTGGAAACCTTCCTGTGCGCTTTTAGCAGATAAATTAAATTAGGATAAATGTAACACATTTTTGGATGCATGGTAACAGCCATCCTTCTGCAAATGTGCTTAATCATTTTCTTGTCATGTCCTTTAATAGTGACACAATGGACAGCGTAAAGCAGAGTGCAGCTCTTTGCTTGTTAAGACTCTACAAGACCTCACCTGACCTTGTGCCAATGGGCGAATGGACATCACGGGTGGTCCACCTCCTTAATGATCAACACATGGTATGTGCTTTTGATTTGTCTGGAGATGATTTACTGGTGGGAGAATACATTATACAGATTAAGTATTGTAATAAAGTCAGTATTTAATTTGCTGCTTTATTAGTGTAACTTTACAGATTATGATGATAAAGGAATAAAAAGCCCTGAACTTTAGTCAATGCGTAGCATAGTACACCGTTCGAAATTATTATGCAAATGATATTTTTCTCATTTACCTAAATAATTGATGTAAATAACAGTCAGCATAATTCTCATGTTATCAACTATTAAGAGTACAATTCAAATTTTATTGAACAAACCTCCTAATGATAACAGTATTTTTTTTAAACATAAAACACTTACAATGCACTGTTCCAAATTATTACGCACAGTAAGTTTCAAAACACTTTATAGGTTGTAAAGAACTGAAAATTGTCATTTGTTTTTGCAGCATATTTACTGAAATCAAAAGCTATTTCAATCAAACGTTTAACAACACTTTAACTTTTTAAACATTTTAACAGGTCACGTTACATTGTAACATAGGACCCCTTATTTGATAGCAGCTTCATAAGTCTTGCATCCATTGAACTTGAGTTTTTGGACAGTTTCTGCTTGAATTTGTTTGCCAGATGTCAGAATAGCCTCCAGAGCTGCTGTTTGGATGTAAACTGCCTCCCACTCTCATAGATCTTTTGCTTGAGGATGCTCCAAAGGTTCTCAATAGGATTGAGGTCATGGAAGGATGGAGGCCACACCATGACTTTCTCTCCTTTTATCCCCATAGCAGCCATTGATGCAGGGGTATTCTTTGCAGCATGAGATGGTGCATTGTCATGCATGAAGATGATTTTATTACGGAAAGCATAGTTCTTCCATCTGTACCAGGGAAGAAAGTGGTCAGTCATAAACTTCACATACTTTGCAGAGGTCATCTTTACACCTTTGGGGACCCTAAAGGGGCCGACCAGCTCTGTTCCCATGATTCTGGGCCAAAACATAACTCCACAACCGCCTTGCTGATGTCGCAGCCTTGTTGGAACAGGGTGGCCGTCCACCAACCATCCACTACTCCATCCATCTGGACCATCCAGGGTTGCACGGCACTCATCAGTGAACAGGACTGTTTGAAAATTAGTCTTCATGTATTTTTTTTGCCCAATGCAGCTGTTTCCGCTTGTGAGCATTGATTAGTGGTGGCCGAATAGAAGGTTTATGCACAGTTGCAAGGCTCTGGAGGACTCTACTCCTTGATGTCCGTGGGACTCCAGAGGCACCAGCAGCTTCAAATATCTGTTTGCTGCTATGTAATGGTATTTTAGCAGTTGCTTTCTTGATCCGATGCATGGATCTGGCAGACATCTTCCTCAATGTGCCTTTATCTGTACAAACCCGTCTGTGCTCTGAATCCGTCACAAATCTCTTAATAGTGCGATGATCACGCTTACGTTTTTGTGAAATATCTAATGTTTTTATACCTCGTACAAGGCATTGAACTATTTCACTCTTTTCGGCAGCAGAGAGATCCTTTTTCTTCCCCATATTGCTGAAAATGGTGCTCTGCTTAATAATGTGGAACACCCTCCTTTTAGTAGTTTTTCCTTAAATTGGGCTCACCTGCCAATCTAATTATCACAGGTGTCCGAGATTGTTTTCAGTGATCAAAAGAGCCCTGAGACACAATGCCATCCATGAGTTAATCTGAAAAACAAAAGATTTTATCTTTGTGACCCTTAAATAGAATTCACATAATAATTTGGAACAGGGTGTAAAGCCTTATTAAAACAGAACGTATGTGCACGTTTCATTCCATCACATATTTAAAAAAATAAGGCTGTTATTCCTTATTACAGGACAACGGACGGAGCCATGCAAATCGTTCATTTGTGCCCAAAACAAGTAAATGCACATCCTGGCCAAAATGTCTGAAACGGCTGCATGCAGTTTAGAATAAATGACTACAATATATTATATTTTGTATTGTACACCAGCAGTTCTGGATCTGCCTTTGACTGTTTATGATGTAAAGTTATGATTTGCACCATCCTGAAATGGGAAATATTTTCTATTTGTGATGGATTGAGACATGGGTATACCTTCAGTTTTAATAGGGCTTTATTGTACTGCACTCTTGCTTTTAGGTGAAAACAATGAAAATATGGTACAGGCTAGGCCCAGTTCACACTTGTGTAAGCTGCGTTCTGTGGGTAAGGCTGCCCTCCCCACAAAAACAGAAGGAAAAGAAGCCCCGGTTAATTTTTAAAATCATTCCTCATGGAATTGCATGGTGCTATGGCACTATGTGGTTATGGGCATCCCAAAATGGGCGTTTTGCCAGTGTGTGTGGCGGAGGGCATTAAGAATTAATGGCACCCTTGTTTATTTGATAATCGCGCAGGTTTCTCATGTTCTGGGATTGCCTCTTCCCAGCTCTCACTACTGTGAACTTGGCCTTAGTGATGATAAAGCTTCATACCGTTAGTCAGTGTGTTGTCTGTCTAGCAGCTTAAAGTGATTTGGGAAACTTGCAGCTTCACATTTAAAACTTGAAATATTGTATATTCTGTTAAACACAGGGGCTTGTATGTTTTCATATCATCCCTTTTTTATATAAATGAGAAAAACCATTAAAATATGATTGGTTCATATAGTGAACTTGGTGTAGAGTTATTCACCCTGAGGTCATCACAGAGGACAAGGAGGCACTCTTTACGTCTGGAGGAAAAGACATTAAATCTCCAAATACCGAAAGGTTTCTTCACAGTAAGAGATGTGGAATAGACTCCCTCTAGAGTTGGTTCTGGCCAGCTCAGTGGATTGCTGTAAAACAGGACTGATTCTTTCTTGGATACACAGAATACAACCGGATACTAACATTTATAGGTAAAGTTGATCCAGGGAATATCCGATTGCCGCTCGGGGGATCAGGAAGGAATTTTTTTTTCCCCTGCAGGAGCAAATTAAGTCATGTGTTACTGGGTTGTTACTGGGTTTTTTGCCTTCCTCTGGATCAACTGTAGGTGTAGGAATATAAATTTTTTTTTTATGGTTGAACTGGATGGACTTTTGTCTTTTTTTTCAGCCATGAGCTAAGCATAGGTACCAAAGGGAAGAACTATGTAAAGGAAAGAAGAGTGCAGTTGACTACATCTAGACCTTGGGTGTAGGACATAAACTCTACAAACTTCACAAGTAAGCTAGATGAAGGTAACCCCCCCCCCCCCCCCGCTTATTTTTTTGTATTCTGGAGACCCCACCATCATAATGCACTGCATCAGCTGATCAAATGCAGGTTTTCCAGCATGACTGTTTAGCAGAAACTGCTCATTAGATTGGCTTCTGTTGAACCGGGAGGTTTACATGCAGATTGGAATTCAGCCAGTCTCTGCTGAACCCGCAACTTTTTTTTTTTTTGTTCATTTTTATTTTGACCCAGAGTTCTGCTTTTGGGTTTTTAATTTTGGATCATACAGCTACCTTTTTTTGTTTTCTATCCTTCAATCAGGGAGTGGTGACTGCAGCTGTCAGCCTCATTACTTGCCTCTGCAGAAAGAATCCAGATGACTTCAAGACATGTGTGTCTCTGGCAGTTTCCAGACTCAGTCGGGTAAGTTTTTTTTTTTTTGTTCCTGTTTTTTTGTTTTTTTCTGTTAAAGGGAGTAAACTACCAAGAAAAATACACTTGGGTAGGCAGATTTTTAAAAATGAAAGTAGTCTGTCTACGTTTACACTTGTGGCAGACTTTGCCACCCCTCTGAAAAGCGAGGTGGATAGCTTTTCAAAACTATTTTACAGGTGGTGATGAGATGATGTATATGTTCTCCTCATAGCCTGTTTTAACTCTGCACTACATGCTGTTGCAGGCCAGTTTATGGTGCAGCCCTATTTACTTGAATGGGTCATGTTCAGCAGCAGTACTGCCAGCTTAATGTGACCGGGGTGTAATTTGTCATGCCATGTGTACAACCCTGTCTGGCAGCCTGTGCAGCTTATGGGGGGCAGTAAAACACATCTCAAATATCTGTTTACCACCTCCTAGCCACAAGTATAAACAAGCATTTTGTGTGATAGATGCACACAAGGAACTGCCATTTTGAACATGACTTGCACAGCCAGTCAATGGTTGCATTGGGATCTCAGGGCTCATGCACTTGGACTATTAGGGCTGTACAGCGCATGGATCAGTGGATTGCTGTGCTTGGTGCTGCTAGTGATTTCTCTTGAGCTGCAGACAGTAGGCATATACAAATATCTGACAGATTGGCTCTGTTTGCAGTTATTTGCATGTAATTGTACATGAGAGAATACCTGTGGTTAGGTATGGATGTGAACCCCTAAATGCAGACACATCCATCCTAAATTGTAAGTAATTGCTCTGTGTGCGATTACATGTAGCGGCTGCAGACAGCATCAGCGTGCCATACAGGCTTACTGTTCACAGCTAGACAAATACCTGGCAGTATCTGCCACAGAAATGAGCTGATCTGGGCAGCGTATGGCCCTAATTGTTTGTGTGCATGAGTCTTTAAATCCTTTTACCTGATTTGATAAAGGCTTTCAATTTCTGGTTACTTGGTAATTGTACCGTAGTTTGAAGTTAAAGTTAAACCAGATTGTGCATTGTTTCATGCCATTCTACAACACTGTGGCCATGCCTCACAAGTGAGACATTTGAGGAAGTACACAATGTCTATGTTGCATTTTCTTTTCTATATTGCACAAGAGTTCCCCAGGTCTGTTGCTAGAAGACAGAAACTTTTATAAAAGAAAGATCTCCAATATACAAACCAAACCTAATCCTTAGTATTCCAGAGCACTTCCAATGTGGTGATGCATCTTGACAGGTTGTCTTTCATTACAATTAATAGTGTCAATTCACAGTCATTTTACGTGTAGTTTTTAATCTATGCCATGGTCATTTTCACGTCACAGATTTATTTTACAGTAATAAGTACTACATAGGTGCACACCAAAATGATTATTTTCCTATGTGAAATTAAATTTAAATTGTTGAAAGTCTTTTCTCATAAGTTTAGCTTGTTAAAGTGCTATTAATTGTTTTGAAAGATCATGTTAGTACAGTTGTGCTCAAAGGTTTGCATACGCAGGTAGAAATTGTAAAATGTTGGCATTTAATTTTGAAAATATGACTGATCGTGCCAAAAGACTGTCTTTTATTTAAGGATAATGATCACGTGAAGCCATTTATTATCACATAGTTGTTTGACTCCTTTTTAAATCATAATGATAACAGAAATCACCCAAATGGCCTTGATCAACAGTTTACATACCCTGGAATGTTTGGTCTTGGTACAGACACACAAAGTGAGACACTCACGTTAAAATAGCAATTGAGGTTAATTTCCCACATCTGTGGCCTTTTACATTGCAATTAGTGTCTGTGTAGAAAAAGTCAGTGAGTTTTTTTTAGCTCTCACGTGGATTCACTGAGCAGGGTAGATACTGAGCCATGGAGAGCAGAAGAAGAACTGACAAAAGACCTGTGTACCAAGGTAATAGAACTTTATAAATATGGAAAAGGACAGAGAGAAGACCCATAGCCTTGAATATGCCAGTCAGTACTGTTCAATCACTTATTAAGAAGTGGAAAGTTTAGGCATCTCTTGAATCCAAGCCACAGTTTGGTAGATCTAGAAAGATTGTAGCCACGACTACCAGAAGAATTGTTTGGGATAGAATGAAAAACCCACAGGTAACCTTAGGAGAGATACAGGCTGCTCTGGAGAAAGTGTGGTTGTTTCAAGAAGCACACTACAACAATAATTGAACAAAAATGAGCTGCATCTTTGAGTTGCCAGAAAGAAACCTCTACAAAGCCAGGTTACAATATGCCCGACAACACCTTGACACTTCTCACCAGGCTTTTTTCGGGCAACTCAGCCATGCAACTTTTTTTTTTTTTTTTCCCCTTTCCCCAGAGCAGCCTATATTTCTCCTGAGGTTACCTGTGTGGGTTTGTCTTTGTGGCCTGAACAATTCTGGCAGTTGTGGCTGCAATCTTTCTTGGTCTACCTGACCTTGGCTTGGTGTCAAAAGATCCCTGAACTTTCAACCTCTTAAGTGATTGAACAGTTCTGACTGGCATAGTCAAGGCTTTGGATATCTTTTTATAGTCTTTTCCATTTTTATAAAGTTCCATTACCTTGTTACACAGGTCTTTGACAGTTCTTTTCTGCTCCCCATGGCTCAGTATCTAGCCTGCTCAGTGCATCTGCGGAAGAGCTAACCTACACATGGACTATTTATGCATTTGGCACTAACTGCAATTTAAAAAGCCTCAGATGTGGGCAATTAACCTTTAATTGCCATTTTTACCTGTGTGTGTCACCTTGTGTGTCCGTACCAAGGCCCAACCATTCCAGGGGATATAAACTTTTGATCATGGCCATGTGGGTGATTACTGTTTATGATTTAAAAAGGAGCCAAACAACTATGTGTTGATAAATGGCTTCATATGGTCACTACCCTTAAATAAAAGACAGTCTTCTGGCATGATCAGTCATATTTTCAATATAAATGCCAGCATTTTACAATTTCTGGCAGGGTATGCAAACTTTTGAGCACAACTGTATGTATATTACATGTAAGCTAAGCTCTTACTTTGCATTGTTTTCCCACAGCACTCTATGCACTGCCTTTATACTCAGTGGGGTTTATTTACTAAAGCTGGAGAGTGCAAAATCAGCCTCACTTCTGCATAGAAACCATTCAGCTTCTAACCTCAGATTGTTCAATTAAGCTTTGGCAATAACCCAAACTGTCAAGTGCGCTGGAAAAACGCATAAATTGTAACCTGCATAGATGTGAACCTAGACTAAAAGCAAAACTTTTAGATAGAGTTGAGAGGGATTAGAACGCCTGCCCATCTTTAATGCTGTCTATGGCCCGGTCAGGGAGCTTTACCTTCTTTGTCCTTTCCTGTACAAAATGGGAAACAAAAAAAAAAGGTTTTTGACCTTATTAACACTTTAACGCCAGTGTAGTGATTTTTTTTTTTTTTTTTTTTCAGTTTGAGCTGATTCACATGCATGCGATGCGGATTTATGCTCAGGTTTCACAGCTAATTGGCACAGTAGTTGTTCAGCAGTTCAGGTCAATATTTTATCCTGTTCACACATGTGCAGTTTAGAAATGGTTCCCTTAGAAGTCAATAGCCTGTAATCCTTACCTGAACCGGATTGCATGGCTTAGAAATCGGACCGCACTCTTTCAATTCGCACTGAATCCGCACTGCCAGTGCACCAGACATACACTATATTGCCAAAAGTATTGGGACACCCCTTCAAATCATTGGATTCAGGTGTTCCAATTACCTCCATTGCCGCAAGTGTTTAAAATCAAGCTTCTAGGCATGCAGACTGCTTCTACAAACATTTTGTGAACGAATGGGTCGCTCTCAGGAGCTCAGTGAATTTAAGCGTGGTACCAGGTTAGATTGCCTCCTGTGCAATAAGTCCATCCGTGAAATTTCCTTTGCTACTAAATATTCCAGTCAGCTGTTAGTGGGATTATAACAAAGTGGAAGTACCTGAGAACAACAGCAACTTGGCCACGAAGTGGTAGGCCTTGCAAAATGACAGAGTGGGGTCAGTGCATGCTGAAGTGTGAAAAAGTCGCCAACTGTTTCAGAGTCAATAGCCAAACACCTCCAAACTCTGTGTGGCCTTTAGATTAGCACAACAACCGTGCATAGAGCGCTTTATGGAGTGGGTTTCCAGGGCTGAGCAGCTGCATCCGAGCCTTACATCAACAAGTGCAATGCAAAGCATCCGTAGCAGTGGTGTAAAGCACGCTGCCACTGGACTCTCGAGCAGTGGAGACATGTTTTCCGGAGTGACAAATCGTGCTTCTCTGTCTGGCAATTTGATGGACGTATCTGGGTTTGGCGGTTGCCAGGAGAACGGTACTTGCTTGACTGCATTGTGCCAAGTGTAAAGTTTGATGGAGGGGGGTTATGGTATAGAGTTGTTTTTTGGGGGTTGGGCTTGGCCCTTTAGCTCCAGTGAAGGGAACTCTTAAGGCTTCAGCATACCAAGACATTTTGGACAATTTCATGCTCCTAACCCTTTGGAACATTTTGGGGATGGCCCCTTCCTGTTCCAAAATGACTGCACACAAGTGCAGAAAGCAAGGAGTTTGGGGTGGAGGAACTTGACTGGCCTGCACAGAGTCCTGACCTCAACCAAATAGAACACCTTTGGGAAGAATTAGAGTGGAAACTACGAGCCAGGCCATCTCGTCCGACATCAGTGCCTGACCTCACAAAAGTTTCTGGAAGAATGGTCAAACATTCCCATAGACACACTCCTAAACCTTGTGGACAGCCTTCCCAGAAGAGTTGAAGCTGTTATAGCTGCAAAGGGTGGGCCAACTCAATATTGAACCCGATGGACTAAAACTGGGAAGCCATTAAAGTTCATATGCGTGTAAAGGCAGGCGCCCAATATTTTTGGCAATATAGTGCATGTAAACAGACACCATAGGAGGCAATGTTATTTCAAATGTAGTGGGTTGGATGCGATTTCAAACCACATCCAATCTGCATATATATGAACCAGCACTTTCTGTCCTTCCAACCACACAGCATGGTGGGGGGTTGTCATTGGGACAGTAGGAAGCAATAATGAAAACCTGGCAGAGATTGTAACCTTACTAAAAAAAAAAAAAATACTATTAATTGTTAATGGCACCCCACACCAGAGGCTTATCTACCATGAGGCAAACAAAGGCGTTTGCTTAGGGGGGTGGTGCCGCCCCCCTGGAAGAAGGGACCCGGTGAGCAGCGGCAGACAGAGCTATGCAGGGCCGCCATCTGAGGGGTACCACCGGTACTCCTGTAGGTGGCCCGGACAGCAGGAGGATTGGTGTGGTGTGGGAGAGCAGTCGCAGAAGGGTGCACTGTGTATCCTTCCCTCCAGTAGCTGAAAGCCAGTTTGAGGTTTCTCCCCCTCTCCCTCCTGTCGGCTTTCTGCTGCTGGAGGGAGAGACAGACCTGGCTAGATGGAGGGAGTGCCCTAGTGTCCTGAGTGGCCGCTGTCCGCTGAGCTCCGTCCCCTGCCCACACTCGAGCCAGGACCAGGGGAGAAATGGAGGAGAGGAAAGAGCCCAGAGGAGGTGAGCTGTGTTGTGTTCTCTGGGCTCTCCCTCCTGTCGCCCATCCAGCACATGATACATGATCACTGACAGATCATATGGGACTGTATAGACACAGTGTGATTACCACCCCCTGCCCACATTTTCTGCTGCCCGGAGATCGCAGCCCTTAGAGGGAGGTGTGTGTTGTACAGTAACATAAGAAGAGGGAAGAGAGAGAATCATACTGTATATACATGCACACACTTATTGAACACTCGTTGGGCGGGGATTTTTGTGTTTCCAAGGGCAGCACAAAATCTAAATACACCACTGCCCCACACATCTACAAACGTGAGGTTTTCATGCACTCCAAACTGCATTGTGCCATTTTTTTTTTTTGTTTTTTTTTTAAACTCTAGGGCTTTTCTTCGTTTCTGTGTAGGGCAGCCCATTAAAATTAATGGACTGCCCTATACTCCGTGTGCAGTAGCATGCCTGTGCTTGTAGGTGTGAACCAAGCCTAACAACAGATGGTCATAAAAACTTGACAGGCTTTAAGTTTGTTTTTGTATTTTTCTGTTGGGTTTTAACCACTTGCCATCCTGAGGAGTTACCCCCTTCCTGGCCAGGCCATTTTTTTTTCGGAACGGCGCTGCGTTACTTTAACTGACAATTGTGCGGTCATGCAATGTTGCACCCAAATTATATTTATGTCCTTGCCACAAATGTAGCTTTCTTTTGGTGGTATTTGATCACCTGTGCGGTTTTTATTTTTTTGCGCTATAAGCAAAAAAAGACCGTTTTGAGAAAAAAATATTTTGGAATTTTTGCTATTTAACATGTCCAGTAAATAAATTTTAAAAATCAAATTTAGGCCAAAATGTATTCTGCGACATGTCTGCTAAAAAATAAAAATCCCAATACGTGTAGATTAATTGTTTTACGTGAAAGTTCTAGCGTTTACAAATAGATACTGGGAGTTTTATTTCTTTCTTTCTACTAGTAATGGCTGTAAACAGCGACTTTTAGCGGGACTGCGGCGGACATCCTGACACTGGGGGGAACTAACTTGGTGTCCCTAATAGTGATTAGTGCTAAAAAAAAATTAAATAATAAAAGCACTGACACTGTACTAATGGCACTGGGCAGGAAGGGGTTAATGTGAGGGGCGATCAAAGGGCTAAATATGTGCTGGGAGTGTTTACTAGGGGGTAGGGAAAGTGTGCTTTACTGTAAGCACACTGATTGAGATGGCTGGGCTGTACACAGCCATCCTGAGCAGTGTGCTCGAGCTGACAGGGAGGAAGACTGTATGTAAACAGTCTTCCTTCCTGTCTGTGATTGTTGGTAATCACCAGCCGTCGGCAGGTAATTACCGGCCGGGACCCGGTGATTTACATCCGTGGCTGTAAATGCAAAATCACGCATATATACGTGATCATGCGCACAGGTGCCGCTGTGTAGCAGTATATCTGCTATACAGCGGCGTGGAAGTGTACAGAGTGTACAGAGTGTACACTTTGTCCTCCAAAGAGAACCCTGGCCCTGAACTCCTGGTGTACAAGACTCATGATGGGGATTGTAGTACTCCTCATCCACCTGGCCGAATCCAGGCTAACCTCATACTTCAGGAGACCTACCAAAGCAATGTCTCCAAAGTACTAGGTGGTTCTTCTTCGAAGGGAGACCCCATGGTAGGAGGAGAAACTCACCAAAAGGCCAAGCGCCCCTCCCACCCCCTAAGATTTTCAGAGCAAGTTTATGGATCTACACCCTACTAATAAGGAGTTAAAATGCATAGTGCTATGCAAAAACAGACAAGCAAAAAAAGGGAATAGGGATAAAGGAGAAGTGCTTTGGGTGCCCATGCCTATACAGTGGCTGGCTTTCTGGCCAGTTTAGGAGGATTTCTCCGGTTCCAGCCAAAAGGTCCAGCCCAGGAGGTAGGTGTGAAGAAGTGTGCAAGGGGTGATGTGAACAAGGTGCTGTACTTCAGGGATGTTGAATATTTAATGCCCGGCACATGTAGTTCCCGGCATCGGACAGGTAGTTTTTCGTTTTTCTTTTTTTTCCTTCAGTCCTGCTGCAGGTAAGCACCAGGGCTCATCTGTCAGGTGGAAGCAGTCGGGCTGCAGCGCTGCCGCCCAAATGCTTCCACACAGTACCAGCCCTTCCCTCGCTGCTCCCCTCCCCTTCTCGTCCTGACCTGGAAGTAACGTTATGTCATTTCTGGGTCACTGTTGACAGATTCCCAGTCATTGAGGCTAGGAAAGAATGCAGTGCGTTATGCACTGCATTACATTCAGTGTAGTACAGGGGAGACATCCAGGGTCTTTTATACTTTGGATATCTCAATAAAGAGAACCTGTCACCAAAAAATTATCACATAGGGCATATTGTCCCCTATGTGGTGAAAAAAAATTGGCGAAAAAAAAAAATTTTTTTTTTTTTAATTGTAAAAAATGAAAGTTAAACCCAAGCACATAACGCCGCCCCCCTCCTCCACATATACACACACGTACAAACGTTAAAAGCACATACATGTAAACATCGATTGCGCATGTTACATATCACCATGCACGCTAGAATGAGAGCAATAATTCTAGCACCAGACCACCTCCGTATACTATACTGATGACCTATAAGGGGCTTTAAAAGTGTCGCCTATAGAAAATATAGGTTACTGAAGTTCTTTGCCATTTCACGAGCTCGTGCAAATTTTAATGTTTGACGAGGCTAAGGATCAACTGTGGGTATGGTATAGGATTATAACTTTTTTTCTTTCCTTTTTTTTTTTTTTCCCCTCCTTGTTAATGGTTGAACTGGATGGACTTTTTTGTCGTGTTTTTTTTTTTTTTTTTTCTTTTCTTCTTCAGCCAGACTAACTATGCAAATAAGTTGGATATCTATTTACTCGATGCAACCTCATCTTTTATATTTTACACAAAAATAGGGTAATTTATTGCTTTTTTTTTTTTTTTTCTTCTTGCCCTAAAATTAACTTATATTTTTTACTGAAACTTTGTGATATCATGCGACATAAAAATTGGAACTACCACTTTTATTCTCTAGGTTCTCTGATTTCAGAAAATATATAGTGTTTGGGGGTTTTATGTAATCTTCAGGCCTAAAATAAGTTTTTTTAGTCTTGTGCAAAAACAACTCTGGCAGCGAAAGGGATAGAGGATAAGCTCAACACTCCCCTTCCCTGAAGAGCAGCTAATCTGTGCTCATTACACTGCAAGGTCTCTCCTTGAAGGAGAAGGAGATACAGCACAATGTTTAAAATTGTTACACGTTTAAATTGCCGTAAAGCCCCTTTTGTTTTTAAATAGTCCTAAAATCACCTGATTTAATTACAGCTTTGGTTAAAAAAAAGTGGTTTTTTTTTTTTTTTTTTTTTTTTTAATCTGGACAAGAAGATTGTCATGAGGGACAAGTAGATTGGGACACCGATTTAGTCCCTGGACAATTAGTTTTTTCAAACATTTTCACACCCCTGTGCTTAAATCAAAGCGACTTTCCGCACAGTGAGTTCTTCAGGCACCATTTATCTGCCAGTCCAGGGACCCAAGCACTGCAGGCTTTTCTCAGCTCTGCACCTGGCTAGACAGATGCAGCACCATCCCTAGGAAACACCAGGCCAGATTCAACCAAGGAGGAAAACAGCCCTCCCACCTCTCCCACCCGCTTACATCGGGAAAATTACTGACAGGCGCCCCCCAGTTGGGCTTAAAGTAAAACTAAAGGTAAAACTTTTTTGTTTTGCATCAAGACCCCTGTCAGGTTTTTATTGGTGTCTGTGTCCCCGTTAAGGAGATTCACCTTCACGATTTGTCCTGTTTACCATTATCACCGATAGTGAAAGTAAACAGAAACCCAAATTTTAGGTTGTCACCAGAACAGTAAGAGGGAAAAATCTTCCAGTTGGGACACTATTTCTGGTGACTCGGGTGCCCAGATTCATGTTAAAGATGAAAGATCAAAACATTTATGAATTGTTAAACTGCAGTACAATAAACATTTGCTTTTGGGGGTAATACTGCTTTAAACTCTATAAAGACAGCCTAGCAAAAAAGTTGCTCTGTGAAACTAGTGAACCATCTGGAAACCTGTTTAGATTTGAACCAAAGGTACACAGCCTTCTACTTTTTTTTTTTTTTCTTTTTTTTATTATTATTAAAAATCATTAGAAACATGAGAAATTAATCTTAGTACAGTTATCTAATATATATGCCCCATATTGACAGATTGTATCTTCAGCCTCCACTGATCTGCAGGATTATACATATTATTTTGTCCCTGCTCCTTGGCTCTCTGTAAAGCTGTTGCGCCTTCTCCAGTGTTACCCTCCTCCAGGTAAAGTCCTTTTCTTGACATAATGTAACAGTTTGTCTGTTTGTGTTGTCTGTGGCGTTTAAAGGGAATTTGTGTTCACTTTAATCAACCTTAACAAAACATGTAATACAGATGTCTAAATGGCTTAATGTGCTGAATGGGACAGGGCCAGGCATATTTGTAGGCCTGTGCATATTGGTGCATCCCAGGCTTTTTGGCTCCTGAGGATCTCTCCAAAGTACATAAACATACATGTTTGCTTATGCGCTTAAAGCCGGGGTTCACATATGTGAATTGGATGCATTTTGAACCGCATCTGGTGCACATGACGTGAACCAAACCAGCTTCTTATGGAGTCGGTTCAATTATGTGCAGGCCAGCCACTGTGCAATTTTAAAGAGTCGGGGGCGATTTTCAGTCCAGTTCGGGTGCGATTTCCAGTGTTGTACACTTTTATGATTTATTTCAGGTACTTATATAGCGCCGTCAATTTACGCAGCACTGTATATATATATGTATATTTTTACATTCACATCAGTCCCTAACCCTCAAGGGGCGTACAATCTAAGGTCCCTAACTCACATTCATACATACACATACTAGGGACAATTTGGACAGGAACCAATTCACCTACCAGCATGTCTTTGGAGTGTGGAGGAAACCGGAGTACCTGGAGGAAATAGGCACAGGGAGAACATGGAAACTCTAGACAGGTGGTGCCTTGGTTGGGATTACAACAAATGACCCTAGTACTGCCTTACAAATTAGCACCTGAATTGCTGAACAAAATCGCACTGGACTCTTAAAAATTTGCACTGAAACCGGCCCCACACACACATATGTGAACACAGTCAAAGTGAACACGAGTTCATATTAAAGGAAACCAATACTTAATGAGGCCACTGAATCAGCATGCTTGCCAGGCCAAGAATAGTTTTATAACAAGTTAGCAACCATTGCTAGCTTTCTTATAAAAAAAGTTTTTTGGCTGGCAAGCATGCTTGCTCAGTGACTTAGTTACTTTGATTCACCAGCCTGGAGAAGTATGTAGGCCTGGATTTCTGATTTCATTGGATGCTTACTTTTCCCAAACCTGTGAATCAAAGTAGTGAAATCTGAGGAAGAGCACCAAATCCTGGCAACTATTGGGTAGGCAATGGAAGTCTGGATATTTCGGTCAGCTCCAGTTCTCTGAAATAAGTCACCTTTGTGGTTTCCAGAGGATGCTGCTGTGAAGGGTCGTTTAGTGGAGTGCCTGGAAACTATCCTGAACAAAGCGCAAGAGCCACCAAAGTCCAAGAAGGTGCAGCATTCCAATGCAAAGAATGCTATACTGTTTGAGGCCATCAGTCTGATTATCCATTATGACAGGTAGGTGATATAGTGAACGATTTTGTGGCTTCTATGGAGCTGCTTATTGGAGCTGAAACTTTTTATGCAATCAAACACTGGGCTTTGTTGATGGTTGCATTTTTAATGTTTTAATGATTTGGTACGTTTATTTTTTTTGTTTTTACTCTTAGTGAACCTAACTTGCTGGTGAGAGCCTGTAACCAGCTTGGCCAGTTTCTGCAGCATCGGGAAACCAATCTGCGCTATTTGGCCCTGGAAAGTATGTGTACATTGGCCAGCTCTGAATTCTCCCATGAGGCTGTAAAAACACATATTGAAACAGTCATTAACGCTTTAAAGGTAAGCGAATGCCCATCTGATGCACTTTAAAAACTAAACTCCATCTGCTAAATTGTGAACTGTTGCCTGCTGATATATTTTCAATTGTGTTCAAACTTTCATTGATTTAGCTTTTCTTCACTGTGGTTTAGCAGTACATCCTGGCAATAAGGCGTGCAGATTTATGCTAGTTATATTCATAAAAAACATTTAATATTTTTACTGATCTGCCTAAAGTTAATCTTCAACAATTTGCTCTTTAACTGTTGTCTATTAATTCTAATAAGAAACGTAACAGGGAAAACCGCTCACAGCAATACTTCAGCTCTTTTTATGAACATGCCTAAACAAAATTAGTGCATGTGTGGGCCTGAACATATGGTGTAGCCTAAGGCAGTCCTTCTGTTTTGTAAGGCACCGTCCTTTTAGTAGGCTTTAGAGGAGATTTGGTTTTGTTTTTTTTAAAGTGGAATTACACTTTTTTTTTTTTTTCTTTTTTTTTTCTTTTTTTTTTTTATGGGCCCCCAGGTGTTTTATGCCACAATGTGCTAGTATTCACCACATGTTATCACATTATAGCAGGCTTGTGTATCATTTGAGGCCCTCCAAAACTGTGGCTTCAGCTGGTCCCAGTAGCTTTCTTCTTTGCCCATCTTCAATGACCTCCGTCCACTGCTTTGTAATCGCATCATCATGTCACAAAGCAAGGCCGCAAATGTACTCTGAGCTACGCATGTACCGGCCACGAGAAGCATTTAAGACAGAAGAGACTACTGGGGTCTCTTCTGTTCTAAAAACACTGCCTGCCATCATTTTTTCACAATTGACTTTTAATTCCAATTTAAGCCCTGTTCACACACATATTGCAGTAATACGCAGTAGTTCACTACACCTGTGTCAGTACATTATATTCATTTTACCGCATCACCACAAAGTAGGATATGTAGAAATGCTTTACAGCCCATTGTTTTGTTTTTTTTTTTTTAATTTATTGTTTAGGTTTTATATTTTGATAGAACCATGCACCAAGTATACAAACCAGCATTACACACTCCACTGTATAATTGACCTCAACAGCCCATCCATTTGAAATAGACTGACTAATACAATTCTCTGCTTTCTTGCATTGCCACACATTGATGTTTGATGTATATGGGCCCTTAATTGGGGATTCAAAAATGTGTTTCTTGTTGTGCATTTACTAAATTTGCTGATGCTATTTTTTATCTTGTGTGTGTTTGTGTTTTTTTTTGTTTTCTGTAGACAGAGAGGGATGTAAGTGTAAGGCAGCGAGCTGCTGATCTCCTGTATGCAATGTGCGATCGTACAAATGCTAAGCAGATTGTTTCGGAAATGCTGAGCTACCTGGAAACGGCAGACTACTCAATTCGTGAAGAAATTGTAAGTGTGTTTGGTTCTTTGTAATCGGATTGCGTAATAGCTGCTTCACTTGGCAGTGTAGCCTGTATTGTATACCTATTTGCTTTTGAATGTTTGTGTTTTCTACAGTGACAGCTATGTTTATTGTCATCAGTTGTGCAGGGGAATTTTAAGGATATTTCTAGGCAACAAATGCACCCTGAGCTTAATTCGTATAAAGACTATACAAGTACAGAAACATGCCTGTTGATCTGTCAGAAATGTACTCAGCTGCTAAACCTTGTTATAGGCTAAGGTCTAGTACACTGTATGAGAAAAGCCTACTACTCCTATGTAATCGGAATGGTATTGACTTGTAAGAAAATTCCTATCCAACAAATAAAAACGTAGTTAAATGTAGCTACATACTAGCGTAGTAAAACAGGAAGTGTAGGGTTGGTCTATGCTTCTGGTCATGTTGTTAATTTTTTTTTTTTTCAGTTACTGTACATATTAAATAGAAATTGGGCGTTGTATTAATGTACTACAATAAAAATTTTCCAACTTGCACTGTCATTTTTGGTCATTCGAAAAGTTGGAATCGGCTTTTGAAAGCACTATACAAGCAGTCAGATAATTGGCCGATCGTTCCTCATACGGATATTTTATCATATCGTGTGTACGGGCCATTAGAAGACACAGCTTTTATGTGGACTGAGTGGTATCAGCCCTGTCTACTGTATTTTTTGCTAAACTACTTGACCACGCCCACTCGACACCTCGACCACATAAAGACTAATTATTCTGTAGTCCATTATGAGAATTTAGAGGGCTAAATAGCCTCTTTGTGACAACAAAAATGTTGTATAGGAAAGTTTTTTGAATTTCTGAAAATGGTGTGTGTGTTTTTTTGTTTTGTTTTTAAACAGGTATAACATGTTTCCAGTATTTCATTTAACAAACCAAAGGGGAGCAAACAAGTAACAGAAGTTCACTGTTAGGGCTTGCATCCTTTAAACAGATTCTCCTTCGCACGATCTGATCTTTGATACGAGCACAGAATAATTAACTTTACCTCTCCATATATTAGAACTCAATCATTTTACATTACTGCTACATCCTCCCATCTGATCTTTATGTTCTTTTGTTTCAAACGACTCGGCTTTACAACTTTGGACCTAAATTAAATATGTGCAGTAGCCAACCCATCTCATAAGAGCACTGTTATGAGCCACTTAGGCACTCTCATTGGACAAGTGAAATACAATGCAGAGCTACACTCTTGGGGTGTGGGTTATATTCAAAGTCAAGGAAGTTAAGTATGCACAGAAGAGTATTTTCTGGCTAACAAATCTAATAAAGGACTACTTGTGGTCCTTGCTCTTGGGTTAACTTTAAACGTTTTAGGTTCTGCTTGTTAATCCTTCAAAGTTTTGCTTTGTACAGGGCAATTTAAAGCTTTTCTAGACTAGCTGGTTGGTATAATCCAAGCAGAGGATTCAGAATTTGCCATAGATCCTTTTCCTGAGTACAGCATTGTTCTTTCATGTCCTTTTAAAGTGTTATTAAACTCACAACCCGTAAAATCAGCCTGTATATGCAGTAAAGCATTTTTGTTATATTCATTGTGGAAGCTATGGGGTTAATCCTCTGCATTATGTAAAAAGGCTGTTTGATCTTGTCTTTGATCTTTCCCTCTTTCTACTGTCCCCAATCCCCATCTGCTGATAGTACAAAGCTCTAGGAGTCCCTCTGCACATGCTCAGTTTAGTCTGTATTGCTAGAGATTTTTTTTTTCTTCTTTGGGGCGGTGCATGTGATCTGCACAGGGCCAATTAGCACTGCCCAGACACGGTCAGGGGTTATACTGCCTCATTGGACAGTCAGAGCAGAATGAAAACTCCTCCTACAAGCTTTAACCAGTGCTCAGCTGGACACTGATCAAAGTTACAAGATTGCCATATACTGCTGATGAGAAGGTATTTAGCAGTTTATATTTACTAAAATAATTGCATTTCCATGGTGTGTGTACTGTGGGAGACCAGATATAATGAATGCAGGGTCCTGGGTTTAGTAACTCTTTTAAATTCTCATAATGTAAGACATTAGTCATGTATGGAAACACAGGCTGAACCACAAAATCAACATGGCTTCAGATGAGACAAGTTGAGTTCAATGTTTGGTTTAATCTGGTAACTATGAGGTTTGCATGGTTTTTTTTTCATTTGTGGTGGGTTTTTTTTTTTTTTTTAGGTCCTGAAAGTGGCCATTCTAGCTGAGAAGTATGCTGTGGATTACAGCTGGTATGTGGACACTATCCTGAACTTGATCCGCATTGCTGGAGATTATGTCAGTGAGGAAGTCTGGTACCGTGTCATCCAGATTGTTATCAACCGGGATGATGTGCAAGGCTATGCAGCCAAAACCGTTTTTGAGGTAAAATCTGCAGATCTTACACTGTCCTTTTCCTAGTTCTGTTCCCATTAAAGCATTGTCTGCATGTTATATGTTCTCCCTGGATGCTTAATCTTCTACAAAACCATACTGTGGATGAAGTAGCTTCTTAAATTCAGCTGTATATGTAAAAAACCAGAATGGAGCAGAACATTAGACAGACTGTGGAGTTGTCCTTGAGATGTGTGTGGTGGTTTTTGTTTTTTTTTTTTTTTTTTTTTTTTTTTTTTATTTCTTTGATTATTTATAAGTTAATTCTGTAATGTGGTAAGCAGAATGGTAATTCACTTTTGCATTTCCTCCAGGCTCTTCAGGCTCCTGCCTGCCATGAGAACATGGTAAAAGTAGGAGGATATATTCTTGGAGAATTTGGTAATCTTATTGCTGGAGATCCTAGGTCCAGGTAAGACGCAGAGACAGTCCTAGGTGACAAAACAGTCAGTTTTGTGTCTGTAGATATTTTAGTGGTGTGGGAGGTTGCATGTGACTGTTTAAATTTTATGGACTGAGTGGAGAAGGGTAAAAACCACTGGAATGAGAATTTCCTCAAGGACTGAAAAACCTAAAGCAGTAGAAAACCGTGACAAAAAAAAAAAAAAAAAAAAAAACATCCTTTGCAATGGCATAATGTGCTAGTGTGCATTGCATACTAGCACATTATGAAATACTTGCCTAAGAACGAAGCACTCCAGTGGTGTGATGTAACTGCTGACAGGGCTTCCTTCTTCACCCGGTCTTCCTTCTTCACCCGGTCTTCCTTCTTCACCCGGTCTTCCTTCTTCACCCGGTCTTCTTCACCCGGTCTTCCTTCTTCACCCGGTCTTCCTTCTTCACCCGGTCTTCCTTCTTCACCCGGTCTTCCTTCTTCACCCGGTCTTCCTTCTTCACCCGGTCTTCCTTCTTCACCCGGTCTTCCTTCTTCACCCGGTCTTCCTTCTTCACCGGTCTTCCTTCCGGGTTTGTGGCCTCCAAGAGCTTGAATGGCCGAGCTGTGCTGACGTCACTGCTACGCATGCACACGGGAGTCATGGGCCACAGCACAGCGCTCTAAAGGAACGACGCCAGGTATTCCTTCAGAGTGCATGCGCTGGTGATGTCACCGGCTGCCGAAAGAGAGCGATTTTTCTCCTAAACAATAAAAATCGCCAGGGGGTCTTTACTACCTCTTTAACAAATCTTGTAAAGCTTCACCACACTATTCAGGACTGCCTAGAGTTCCACTGTAAATTTTGATTTTAGCCAGCCAAACAGCTCTATGTGCTAAAGGAAAAAAAATCTGGAAGTTAACATTTTATATTCTCCTGTGGGCAACAACTGTTTTTTGTTTCTTCACTGTTTGTAACATCAATGTGTACTCTATGGCAGGGCTTAAAATTTAAGTCCTGAGCTACTAGCCAGGCCTTAGAGTTACTTGCCACCAACAAACACACACACACACCTGTACACACACACAGACATGTACATACACACACAGAAACCTGTACACACACGCACAGAGACACGTGTACATACAGAAACATGTATAGCCACACAGGCACGTACACACAGATGTACATACATACACACACACGCAGACACATGTACAATTGTACATGCATGCATGCATGCATGTGTACACACACACAACACACACAACCCTACCCCCCCCCCCCCCCATATAAAACGTTGCAGTACTTAGTTGTTCACTCACAGATCCGGGTACTGCACTCTAGGGGGAGGCAGAGAGCACAGAACACACTCCTTGCTTTGCTTTCAGTGCGCTCAGCTATTGAGGAGTCTGACTGCTCCCAGTGCCAATGACCGGTCCGGCCTGAGCTCCGAGTCTGCTCAGCAAGATGGCCCTGGGGAACACACTCGCCCCACCATAATTTCAACTCGCCATTGGTGAGCAGGCGAGTGTAAATTTCAAGCCCTGCCCTGCTCTATGGTCCATAAAATAAGATGTAAACAATGTCTCCATGCGCTGGATCCCCTCGCTGCCAGTCAATTGACATAACTTCTGTGGATATTGTTACCACGTAACACCTAAATCAGCCAGTGCTGAATAACCCCTGTGCATTAAAACACTTAATACTTGGGAACACAACTTATTTCTCAAAATGTCCAAAAAACCTTTTTAAATCATAAAACCGGGCATGAGGACAGTGTAGATAATGCTAGTGTTAGCACTCTGCTGATAAAGGTTAATGAGATCACACTGATGAAGGGTCACAGCCTTATGTGTTTATTTGGTGGTATTTCCTTAAATAAAATGCACCGACTTTTGAAACGTCTGCTTTCCCCCCCGGGAGTCATGGGCCACAGCACTGGTACAGGAACCTACTGCATTCAAAATTTCACTTGAGTGCAGCGCTGGTGATGTCACCGGCCCGAAAGAGAGCGATTCCTCTCACCTAAACATTAAAATCACCAGTGGGTCTTACTTCCACTGAAACCAAACCCACACTATTCAGATGTGCTGCCATCAGATAGTCCACTGTCAAAATTTTTATTTTAGCCAGCTCAAACAGCTCTAGAGCAGTAAAGAGACCTGAAAAAAAGCTCTGGATTGCAAGCATTTTTATATTCCTTGTAACAACTGTTTTTTGTTCACTTTTGTTCAATGTTACTCTTGGCAGGGCTTTTTAAGTCCTGAGACTGCCCAGTTAGAACTTGCCAAAAAACACACACTGTACACAAAACATGTGCACACACTGTAACAACCAACACATTTACCACATACACAGCATTCGTCTTGTTGCACACGCACATCTGCACAGAGACATTACGTGTACATACTGTTGAGAAATGTCATGTATAGGGGGGCACGTACACACACTTCACATGTACAATTGTACATGCATATACACACGTTATAACTGCACACCTATTTCTAACACTATACCCCCCCCCATAAAACGTTGCAGTACTTAGTTGTTCACTCAAGATCCGGGTACTGCACTCTAGGGGGAGGCAGGAGCACAGCTTTCTCCTTGCTTTGCTTTCAGTGCGCTCAGCTAGGTGATTGAGCCTGTCTGTGGGCTCAGTGCCAATGTCAGGTTCCGCCTGAGCCCCGAGCTGCTCAGCAAGTTTCTGGGGAATTCACTTACTAATTGCAACTCGCTTATTGGCGAGCAGGCTGTAAATTTCAAGCCCTGCTCTATGGTCCATGACATAAGAGAAACAATGTCTCCATGCGCTGGATCCCCTTGCTGCTAGCCAATTGACATAACTTCTGCATGGATATTGTACCATAAACCTAAATCAGCTGCTGAATAACCCAGCCAGCATTAAAACATAATACTTGGGAACACCACTTATTTCTCAAATGCCAAAAAACTTTTTTAAATCATGGACAGGGCATGGGGACCTGTAGATAATGCCCCATAGTGTTAGCACTCTGCTGATAAAGGTTAATGAGATCACAAGTGATGAAGAAGGGTCACAATGAACTTATGTGTTTTTTTTTGGTATTTTTGATATAAAATGCACTGACTTTTGAAACCCTGTTCCCCCCCCCTAGCCCACTGGTGACAGTGCTGCTTACTCCATTCAAATTTCACTTGTGCTGCGTGTCAACTCGAGCGTTTCTCCTCTCAGGACCAGGGATGTGTGTTCATGGCAGGACTTACCAAGAAACCAATACCCAAGTCAAATAAGCTGCGTTAAATAGGGAGATCAGAAATGCTACCATGTGGAGCACTGGCAGAGCAGCAGAAATTACCTGAAGCTGAGCTTCTATTGCAAGCACTGATGTCCTTTAAGATCCACTGTTTGTGTGTTTTTTTTTTTTTTTTTTTTTTCCAATTGGACTGTGTTAGAAGTTACAAAAATCACAAGATCCTTCTGCTAGGTTATTCTGGTGGAAAGTTCAGCATTAAAATGACTCCATTTAACTTAATTTGTAGGGTTGGGGAGGTTTTTATAGATTTTAAAAAGCATGTATTTCATATTTAACTATCCAGAAGCCAACCACATATAGTCTCATATAGGGACATGTAACACCCAATTTTAATTTGTTGTAACATTGCAGCATCCATTTATATTGTGTGAAGTAGATGTCACTGTATCTTGAAAACTTGCAGTAAAATCGTGAACCATTTTTACTATATTGCCACTCTAAAGTAAAGTTGTGTTTTCAAAGGAAGAAAACATTTTAATGTAGGGTAACAAGGCATTTTGTGCTATCAAATTTTTAGATGTATGGTAAAAAGCCTAGCACAGATTACCAGTAACTTTGTTCATATACGGTACAGCAAGCCTTGGATAATGTTTTACGTTCTGTTTTTGCATTTTGGGTAATTTGTGTTCCCTTCAGTTGGAAATCTCCCTTTTTGCTTCTGGATTTTTTCTCATAGAAATTATTTTACTTTATCTGTACAGCAATATAAAGGTTAAAATCTGATTGTTACATCTAATTCTACCAACTTCATTACTGTCCTCCAATGCTTCCTCTGTAAGGTAATTTTAAACTGTTGCTTGTGTGTCTGTATGCTAGGCTACAGTGCTGGAGGAGATGCCACCTTTCCCTGAACGGGAATCCTCTATTCTGGCCAAGCTGAAGAAGAAGAAAGGACCAGGTGCAGTCAGTGAGTTAGAAGAAGGAAAGAAGGATCCAAACTCTGAGATTAACGGTGGAGTGGAACCCACACCCAGCACTGCAGTAAGATCCCCTAACTTATCTGTATAGCTGTAAAAATACATAGAGATTTCACAATCTGACTGGGGTGCTTTTGTTGCAGTTGGGCACAGAATTTTGTTCAAAGGGAACATATACTTAATAAAAAATAGAGGCCATATCACTGCTGATGTCTCAGAAAATATTAGTTTCATTGCTGTGGTGCTGATCTATTGGCTTTAGTAATTATGAGTTTCAGTCTATGAACAAGTATGCCAATCAAAAGCTTTAGGATTGGCAAAACTGGAAACTAGCATTATCAGATGTAGATCTGCAGTGAAGCCCCTATATTTCCCTCAGTACAAGTATCCAGCAGAGTGTTTTTAAGCTTTATAAAACCTGTTCCATCGTGGGCTTTGTTTTCACAGTCTACCCCATCTCCATCTGCTGATCTCCTTGGTTTGCGGAGTGCCCCTATAACAGGATCAGCAGCACCCAGCGCTGGAAACCTTCTGGTGGATGTTTTTTCAGACAGTTCTCTGCCACTGCTTCTGTAGCTGCTGGTGCTGATGACAACTTTCTAAGGTATTATGCAATCCTTAAACCTAATCTGAATTGCAAGATCTGATTGGAACACATTTGCCATGTACAGTGCCTTGAAAAAGTATTCATACCCCATGAAATTTTCCACATTTTAAACATGTTACAACCAAAAACGTAAATGTATTATATTTGGATTTTACGTGATAGACCAACACAAAGTGGCACATAATTGTGAAGTGGAAGGAAAATGATTAAATGGTTTTTGAAATTTTTTGCAAATGAATATCTGAAAAGTACTCTGATACCCCTAACTAAAATCTAGTAGAACCAATTGCCTTCAGAAGTCACCTAATTAGTAAATGGAGTCCACCAGTGTGTAATTGAATCTCAGTATAAACACAGCTGTTCTGTGAAGCCCTCAGAGGTTTGTTAGAGAACATTAGTGAACAAACTGCATCGTGAAGGCCAAGGTACACACCAGACAGGTCAGAGATATAGTTGGGGAGAAGTTTAAAGCATGGTTCGGTTATAAAAAAAAAAAAAAAAAAAAAAAATATATCCCAAGCTTTGAACATCTCATGGAGCACTGTTCAGACCATCATCTGAAAATGGAAATGACACAACTGCAAACCTACCAAGACATGGCAGTCCACCTAAACTGACAGGCTAGGCCAGTAGAGCATTAGTCAGAGAAGCAGCCAAGAGGCCCATGGTAACTCTGGAGGAGCTGCAGAGATTCACAGCTCAGGTGGGAGAATCTGTCCACAGGACAGCGATTAGTCATGCACACCACAAAATATGGCTTTCTTTCCCCCCTTCCATAAAGGCCACAAGAAGTCCTTTTTGCAGTTTGCGAGAAGTCATGTGGGGAACACAGCAAACATATGGAAGAAGGTCAGATGAGACCAATATTAACTTTGTCCTGAAAGAAAAGGCTGTGTTGCGGAAAACTAACACTGCACATCACCCTGAACACACCATCCCCACCGTGAAATGTGGTGGCAGCATCATGTTGTCGGGATGCTTTTCTTCAGCAGGGACAGGGAAGCTGGTCAGAGTTGATGGGAAGATGGATGGAGCCAAATACAGGGCAATCTTAAAAGAAAACCTGTTAGTCTGAAAAAGGTTCACCTTCCAACAGGGCAACAACCTTAAGCATACAGCCAAAGCTACAATGGAATGGTTTACATCAAAGCATATTCGTGTGTTAGTAGAATGGCCTAGCCCAGTGGTCGGCAAGCCGCGGCTCGCGAGTCACATGCGGCTCTTTACAAACTTAAATGCGCTTTCTCCCTCCTCTCAGGCGGCCGCCCCAAAAGTCAGGACTCTGCAGCTGTCAGGATGTAGGCGGGGCAGCCAGGATGTAGGCGGGGCAGCGTGACAAACTCCTCTCCTCTCACAGTCCGCCCTGAAGACCAGAACGGCGCGGGAACACGGCGAAAAGAACGCGTGGAGCAAAGGTAAGTGAATTGACACAGGGGGGACTTGGGGACTTAATATGGGGGATGAATTAATATGGGGGATGAATTACTATATGGGGAATGAATTACTATATAGGGAATGAATTACTATATGGGGGATGAATTACTATGGGGGATGAATTACTATATGGGGGATGAATTACTATGGGGGATGAATTACTATATGGGGGATGAATTACTATATGGGGGATGTATTTCAGTTTTAAAAATGTGGCTCTCCAAATAAATTTCAATCGTGGTTTTGGCGAGATTTGGCTCAGTTGAAAAAAAAGGTTGCCCACAACTGGCCTAGCCAAAGTCCAGACCTGAATCCATTTGAGAATCTGTGGCAAGACTTGTAAATTGCTGTTCACAGATGCTCTCCATCCAATCTAACAGAGCTTGAGCTATTTTGCAAAGAAGAATGGGCGAAAATGTCCCCCTCTAGACATAAAAAGACTTGCAGCTGTAATTGCAGTATTGAAAGTATTGAATCCAGGGGGCTTAATACAAATGCATGCCACACTTTTCAGATATTTATTTGTAAAGAATTTTGAAAACCATTTATCATTTTCCTTCCACTTCACAATTCTGTGCCACTTTGCGTTGGTCTATCACATAAAATTCCAATAAAATACATTTACGTTTTTGGTTGTAACATGACATAATATAGAAAAATTTCAAGGTGTATGAATACTTTTTCAAGACACTATATTCTGTCCCTCCTGAAAGTGTGTCCCTATTTCTTTATGTAATATTTATATTCTAAAACACTGTGTACAGAAAATCCATCTGTCCAAGAGGAGCTTACTACATAGTACACACTGCACTTGTCTACCTCTCAGAATACAGGGTGTTCTCTAAATGGACAAGTGGAGATACTGTTATTCATCTGTCCTCTCCCTTCAACCATTTACAGAATGTTTTGTATTCGGTTAAAAGAACACCAGGCTTTTTGTGAATGCATGGTGGGTAGAGGGTAGGAAGAGGGAAAGAATTGATTCTTCAGTGTACACTAGTGGGAACTGTCAGTTGCAGCGCATTAAGAGCAGTTTGTAATACTTACACTAATTTATTAGATGACACATTACAACGTTATGGTTTTTAAACAAATAATTTTTCCTTGAGTTCTGCTTTAACACAGCCTTTTATAAGTTAATTTGCTGTAGATGAACATGCTCTCTTCAGTAGTGGGGAATTACGTTTTTTTCCTGGGATACCTCTATAAATGTGGCTTTCGGGTACTCTGTGAGGGAATTCATGAGTTTTTGGGGTAATTCATGTCTTTTGACTCTTGGGGTACAACCCCTGTACTGACAATACAACACTTAAAGCACATGATTTCTTAGTGTTTACCAAAATCAATATCATGTTCTACTATTGTACTGCTGTGTGTATGCTGCTATTTGTCTGTCTACTGTCTAATTGCATGTGAGTTTTCTGTCTTCTCTTTTGGTCTTTGTCTTCCTTCTTTGCTGTCTTGCTGCTGGTGGGATTGTTTCTTGTCTTTGTCTGTCTTGCTGTGCCTGCCAATGATTGGATGTGTACAGTGACTTGGACCCGCCCTCTGAAAGTCCTGCGTCCCTGTTGGTCAATGCAGACCAGCCTTCAGAGTAAGGGCTGATTTAGTAAAATTAAGGCATGCTCAATAGATATCATCAGTATTCACTACATTTGTCTGCCATTTTCTGGAGAAACCAGACTGTTCAGTTCACTCTCTACAGGAGACACCAATGTTCTTTCCCACATTAGCATGGTGGGCCTTTGAGGTAGTACTACAGTACCCCTAATAATTAGAAATAAGTGAGTTGGCAACCACATGTGGCTCTAGGGTGACTTTAACGTGGCTTGTGACAGCATGTCTTCAGTTCCTGTCTTGTATGAATATGGCCTGCTTTGTACCCTTCGTATAAACATGAAGTCAATCAGAACTTCCATCGTAGGTCACAAGAAAGTGTGAAGGATGAAGAGCGCCACAAGTTTTGTATAATTTAGTCCAGTATAGAGTTAATAATCCTAAATAAAAGATTAGTAAGTGAAGCCAATGTGCTTTGTGGGCTCACAACAACCCCTTTTGATGTGGATGGGGGATTCCTTCTTTGCTGAGCCTTTGTATTTTGACAGTGGGGAGACTTCCCCGCTATCAGAATACAAAGATCAGTGCTACTGGCTTTAGCAGGCGGTGCCAATCAAAGGAAAATTTTCCAACAGGATGTCTGTACAGCAGTTGATTGGTAGATCGACTTCTGTACAACCACTGTGCCCCATACATAGACCGAAAATTTGTCCGGTCCCTGCTGAAGTGGTCAAATTTTGTTCCATGTATAGCCGACTTAAGGCTGCCACTGTCAGCGCTAACAACTGGATGCTCTTACATGGTAATGAGTGTAATGCTGGACATAGTGGGCTAATTTTTTGTCCATTCCGACAAGGTTTTGTTGGAGTTTTGCACACCAGCGAGCATGCGTTATAAGGCGCATAATGCATGTGGGCTAGTGTGATTGAACCCAGCAGCAGATCAGGGCCTAGATAGATCCTCCGCATTCATACCCTCTGTTCATTGTGTTTTGGACAAGCTCATTTTTGCCTCTTTATTTCTCATTGCCCAGCTTGGTTTTCGTTTGCTTCTTTTTATTTCTAGGCACTTGTGGACAGCACTTTATCAAAGACCAACAGGGAGTTGTGACTACATACTAGTTCAGGCCAGTGACTTCAGTTGTAGCGTTCGTTCAGGACAGCCCTAGAACTTGCATGTGGTATAAGAACAAGAGACCATATGGAAATGAAATACCTTTTTGAAGGTGACCCATTGAGATGACTGTAGTACTGTCTCAAGACCATTACACCTCCATCAGGGTTTATATAGCAAATTCTATTTTCACATCAGAAATATAAGGTTCAGAGTTCTTAATATTAAAAAATGCAATGTGCTTCTTTTACTCCTGTCTGTGATCGAAGGTGCTGCTCTTAATTCTGGGTCATGTGATCATGTCAGGACTAACGCTTTTTGTGTGGCTAACAGATTAATTTTGTTTTTCCTCTTTTTGGTTGCTTTCTCTGCCCCTTTTTCCATTCTTTCCTCTATCCTTTTTGCTCTCAGTTCTGGCTCTACTGTTTCAGAGGATCCTGCTTTGCCTATCGCTGAGGCTGATGAGCTTCTCAACAAGTAAGACTAGCATGTGTATTGAAGTGTGTACATGTTGTAGAAGTGTAGATAACTTGTCTGTCCATATCATATATATGTATATAATTCAGTGAAATCTTTTTTTTTTTTTTCCCGTAAAATGTAAAATATTTCATCCAACTCACTTGTAGAACTGAATTGCATCAAATAGATTTTCCACATTTCCCTGCCAAGTTGTAATGGCTGTCTGGAACACCAGAGGGGAGACCTTCTTCCTTCATCCTAGTATAGCTGTGACGCATACATACTAGCTTTTCATCACCAGCCTTTGATGTCACAAGATGGAGAGATCTCTGTATTCCTACAATCTCCACTGAAGAGCCCAGAGCACAAAAAAAAAAATGCCTTAGCAGCTTTCACAACACTGCTGTATTTTAGGAAATGAATTCTAGGGCACTCCTTTTAACGTAAACCTGTGTAACTACACAAATCTGTTGATGCCTGAATGTGCAGTCACACACATTATAGAGCAACATGGAGTCCAGCCATCTTGGACATTTTTTTTATGCAAAGTTTGACCAGCTTCTTCAAAAACCTTAGACCTACCCTCTCTCACTGCCCCTCATGATTATTTGTCAATCACAACCATTGTATTTATCGGCTAGTGGTGAGCACAGGGGATATTGTGCCTGAGCTTCTGAACACAGAAGGTGGTTGAGATTTATGTAAGAGTCCTGGGTTTTGGGGCCCCTAAGGTCTGCAAGGTATAGAACTATTCATGCAGGCAGAATAGGTGCTTTCTCTTCATTCCTGGTAACAGTTCAGAAAGGTAAATGTGTACAAAGATGCACTATTTTCATGTGTAAGTCAATTTACAGTATGTATGTTTGGTTCATTTTAAATGTCGTGTTCCCATGCATTTTTATTTAGTAGGGTTGTTGCCGGTAATTTATCATTATTTGCTGACTGTCAAGAGTGGTGGTTTTAATTGTATTAATATTGATGTTTGTATGTCTCTTCTATAATTATAAACTTCACTGCATGGTTTTAACAACTGATGTCACCATCCCAGTGTCCAGGAGAATATAGATTGACCTTCTTAATATAAAATGTGTTTTAAACCATACATGGCTGAACACCAGTTTATGGCAGATGCAGACTGAAGAAACATCTCACTTTTTTTATGCATCTTGGAGAGCAGATAGGTTTATGCGTATTATAATCCATAGTTGTCCCTAATAACTGAATAAGGTACAAATAATACCACTGGGGTCACTGAAAGATGACCCGGAGTGTAATTCAGCCTACCATTGATATGCCATATAAAAATAGAAATAAACAAGTTTCGGCTAGACTGTCTTTAATGCCTAAGTCCTTGTTTAAAGTCTTAAGTTCACTTTTGTAAAATAAATAAATGCACGTTTGTGGAAGTAAAAAAAAGTGCATTTATCTTTTTTTTTTTTTTCTTCAGGAGCCTGCAGATCATTGCACGCGAAATCCGTGGATCATGGATGCAATGTCAGGCTTCTGCACAGTCTTTCTACAGCCCTGTGCCCATACCTCTGTAGAGCATGTCGGTTTCAGAGTTGCAGGAAGAGTGCATGGATTACAATCGCACTCATCAGCACTCCCAAAGTCCATTGAAAGTGTCTGTCTGCTTTGGTGGCAGATGGGATTGTAGTTTTCTTATTCACAGATTCCTGTGAATGAATGACATGGCTGTGTGGGTGGAGCTTTGTACAGCCACACTGACCGCCTGTGTCAGGTGAAGAACAGACACACTGTCACGGTGTGGAATTGGGATGCTCTGCATAGTAACATGTCACATGCTATGCCCTAAATACAGGTGTACATGTTACTAAAGGTGAACTCAGCCTTTAATGTCCCTTTTTTTAGATAATTCGTTTGGGCCAGCTTGACTATTTACTCCACTAAAAGGTGCACTTGCTGGGTGCGCTGTGTAAAACTATATGTAACCTCCACTACATACTGTATACAGCGCTGTGTTCTGGCAGTCCCCACCCACTGTGGAAGCAAAATAGAATTGGGCTGAGCACTGCTCAGCAATTCACTGGAATCTGTGTTTTATGCAAAGTTTTCTCTGATTGGCTGAGGTTGAGATCATGATCATCTGCCTGCTTCTCCACCTTAGCCAATCAGCGGAAGCTTTATATTCATATAATACAAGGCTTCTTGTGAATGGCTGAACAGCTCTCAGCCCAATTCTTATTTCAGAAGTGGTAGAGGAAGTACCTGCCCCAGGGCCAGAACACAGCACTGTAAATGGTATTAAGCTACACACAGTTAATACAGCATGCCCAACAAGCACACCTGTTGGAGCAGTAAATAGTTTATGAACTTGCCCCAGACTGTTTAACTGTGGGCTTAAGTAGCCCATAGAAGATTCGTTTTTTTTTTTTTTTTTTTATTCATTCAACCAGTGGGCTAAACAAACAAAAAATGACCTGATTCCCCCCATCTGCTCATTTTGAAGTGGAATCATTCCCGCTGAGCCTAATGTATTCTGATTGGGGAGACTTCCTCGCCATTAGAATACACTGAAGAGTGTTGCCAGCTATAGTTCTGCTGAACCATCCAAATTTCGATTCATGTATGGCCGGCTTAAAGCTTTAAATTGTATGCAAGTGCCAGCCTCTCCTTTTAGCTATGGAGCACATATGGGAATAATATAGAGTGAACAGGGAAATCAAGGCTTTTGTACACTGTGACGTTTATTGCAAACACTATTTCAAATGATTGTTGCATTTTTAAAGTTTCTAAACAGTTAATTTTGGTTCTGATGTCTTCTAAAATCCTTCTATACTGTGACATTTACTGGTAACGCTCTCTGGATTTCATTTTCAAGATGAGCCAGAAGCTCCTAGCTTTGTTTAAAAAAGTTTAAGCTTTCAAATGTCCATCTTGGTCTGCCTTGATCTTCTTTACTAGCTTAGCTTCACAAGTGATTTCTCAAAATTAAGGCCAAACTCTGGGCAACAAAAAAAATAAAACTCAATAGCATTGCATTCCGTTGGCAAAAAAAAGAAACCTCCCCATCATGCCGGCTTTATTCTATAGTTGTCAAATTTATTTTTAAATGTAGAGGGAAGTAGATCTCTGCACCCTAGGATGTAAGTGCTGCAGGTCTCAGACTCGAGCACTATGGTGGCATCTCTCCTCCAGGACATTCACAAGGCACAAAGACCCAGGATCCATTTTATAAATGCCCTGGAGAAGAGAGGGGTGAAGATGCAAACTTGGCCCCATGCACAGATTTGTGATTGGGCTGGATGAGAGGGTGACAGGCTTGTGACCATGACATTGGGTTCTGAGACCTGCAACACTTGCGTACAAGCAGAGACAAAGTATAACGCATGCAAAAGAACAGATCTGACAGCTGTAGAATAAAGCCAGCTTAAATGGAGGTTTCTTTTCTGCCAATGGAATGTATAATTGCTGCAGGTACTGGTGGGGTTTTTTGTGTGCCTGAAGTTATGGTTTAAGAGGTATTAAATGTAAAATTACAACAGTACAAATGTGACAAACAGAGTCCCCATACTTTTGTTTCATGCAATTTGTTGTATAAATACCTGAGGTTTAGCAATTTCTTGCACAGAATAGAATACATTTGATCTTTTGGTGACATCATTTCTAACTGCATGCATTTGTGCTTAGAATTGAATTACAGGTTGTTTTGTTTTTTTTTTAATATGAAACATAACTGGTGGATTATCCCTGCGGTTTTAGGTTTGTCTGCAAGAATAATGGAGTACTTTTTGAGAACCAACTTTTGCAGATTGGGGTGAAGTCGGAATTCCGTCAGAACCTAGGTACGTAACCAGAATGTGTCTGCTAGCAGTTTTTTATTGTTGGTAGTAGGGTTGCACTGATGCCGATACTGATATTGGTGCCAATACTAAGCATTTGCATGAGTACTTGTGCAAATGCTCCAATACCTAAAACAGATACCTTTTGCGGTGCAATTTGGAACTATTCAAAATGAATGGGCCTAAATTGCACTGCAAAAAATTGCATGTGATTTGAACAGGAACGCGGTGTGATTCCTGTCTGAATCACGTGGTTCCCCCCACTGCTCCAGTTTGAACTCAGGCTTGTCATAGTGGCTTCAGCCTGGGTTCACACAGGAGCCGTGCAGTGAATATTTGCAGTGCAATTTAAGCTCATACAATGGACTCAAATTGCACTTCAAAGTATTGGTAATTGTTATCGGCAAGTGCTTGAGCACAAGTATCAGTACTCGTACTCGCTAGTAAAAAAAAAAAAAAGGGTATCTCTGCATCCCTAGTTGGTAGTAAACCTGGTGGATGGCTTCTGTAGGCCTGTAAGTCTTTCTATAAACCGTTTCCTCTCTGCTTTACTGCAGGACGTATGTACTTGTTTTATGGGAACAAAACATCGGTCCAGTTCCAGAGCTTTACTCCAACAGTGTCATACCCAGGAGAACTGCAGAACCATATCCTTTTGCTCTTCATTTAAAGGCATACCGGGTACCATATCCAGTCTTTTTTTTTTTTTTTTTTTTCCTCTGTTTCGGTGGAATATGAAAAAATGTAATTTTTCTGGTCTTTATCTTTCTGATTTTGATCTGGGGATCATTGGCAAATGAGATCATGGCGACAATTTAAAAAAAAAAAAAAAGTATCTCCTACATTTTTGTAACTTTGAACCCCTGTCACTGGGGTGTCACACAGAAACATGAAGGATGTCATCGCTGACCACCCTCTAAAAATGCTACTTATCAGACTGTTATGCTGACACTTTGGTTTTAGTACTTTCTGCTCTACTGACCCTGGGCAAGCATGAACTGCAGTCTGTGTATGGTTAGCTCTAAGCAGCCTTGTCATTTAGGAAAATACAAAGGTTATCGCTGACTGTTTTTTTTTTTTTTTTTTTTTTTTTTTTAATGCTGGTTGACTGGCTGCTATACAGATTGAGCTAAAACTACATATCTACATAATTGTTCGGGTTAGTGACTCAAAGAACTAATGCCAGAGGGTCAGCATAATGGCCAGGCACCTGGCAGTTTCAAAAGGAAGTTGGCAATGACAGCATTCATTCTTTGTCTAGATCTTTTTCTTTGAGTTGAGCTTTAAAGGATAAGTTTGCCTTTTAACAGAAAATAATAAATGCACATTTTTTTTGCAGGTAAAAAAATGTGCATTTATTATTTTTCATTTGTGGAGCATCTAAAGCATTGCCATGCAGGTCTCTCCCTGACCTGTCAGTATATCTGCTGACTCACACATCCATTATGAGCAAGCAGATACTACTGACATATTGTGTGTTACAAATATTAGTTATTGAGATCACGTATATTTTAGCGCTGCACTACATGTTTTTATATACTACTGACAGGAAGGCTCAATGAACTCGTGGAGCGCTGTGGTAGTTCATTGAAAACTACAAGCCGACAGCCGCAAAGGCTGCCAGGATTTGTGGTTTTCCCATTCACACAATGCTGTGAATGAATGACGCGGATGGAGCTCCGCACAGCCAAGGTTTTTTTTAAATTGTGACAGTGGGGAGAAGATCCCCTGCTAGCTGTCACAGCAGGGATTGGTGGTGGTGGGCAGTCGGATTGTTCCGTTACACCCTGAATTATGAAAGGTGAACTTATCCTTTAAACAAAAGAAGCAACATAACACAAACATGCAAAATGTGTCATTTTTATGTTGTGCTTTTACACTCGTCACATGTATTTAACGGGCTGAGTTTATCACAATGTGCTTGCAGCCTTATTTGGGCTGTTGTACATTTTTTTTCCTTTGCAAATACTTCTTTCTGTGTAACAGCTTGTGTGAAAAGTTTTTTCAGCAAGATTCAAGCAGCTTTGTTAAGGCTTTTTAAGCAAATTTTAATTCCGGAAAGGAGTTGTTAAACACCTCTTTATAGAAGTGGTGACTAACTTTAAAGCCTCACGCCATAATTTTTTTAAAATGAATACCTTAGCGGGGAGAACCCCTACACTGCAAGGGTTAAATGTGTTTTAAGAGATAAAGTAATAGGCTTTTATACTTAAATTATCCACTTGACCTTCAGACCTTTTCCTGACACTTTTGATTTATTTTTGCTATAAAATTGGTTAGAACCCCCAAACATTATATATTTTTAAAAGCAAAGGGCCTGGAGAATAAAATAGTGGGTTTTACACGGTATTTGAGCAGCAGCTTTTCATACGTAATTTTTTGGTGAAAACATAACATTTTGGATTTTAATGCAAAAAAAAAACCCCATAATACATAACCCAATATAAGAGATAATGTTTTTAAATGAAACTTGTCACGTTTTAAAATTGCGCACACCCCTGCAACAGTGACAAATAATGAAAATTTTACTATCCATAGGTGATGTTTTAAAAGCTTTTACAGGTTGCCACTTTAGATTTAAAGAGGTTTAGTGTTAGTATTACTGCACATGATCTGACGTTCGTGGGGATACACATGTGCGGAACGATCACTGTTTTTTTTGTGTGTTGGACTGATGTGTGCATTCACCTTTTGCGCTTGAGCACCAGGGGATGGGGGAAAAAAACATTTTTTTTTTTTTTGTGTAAACAAATTTTATTTTTTAATTATTTTAGTATTTTTACACTGTTGCTTTAAATTTTTTTTTATTTCTTGATCACTTTCATTGCTGTCACAAGGAATGTAAACATCCCTTGTGACAGCAGTAGGCACGTAACAGGTTCTCTTTATGGAGGGATCTAGGGTCTATAAGACTTCAAATCCCTCCTCTGCCCTTAAAAGCATTCAAAACCCCAAGATCGTGGTGTGTGTTGTTTTTTTTTTTTTTTTTTTTTTTTTTTTTTAATGCTTTTAATATTTCAAAAGTATCACCGTTTAGTGCCGAGTAAAACCGGAAGTGATCTCAGGTCATCACTTCTAGGTTACTATAACGGAGAGTCAATTAAAGCCATTCCCGGCTTTGTTTGGCTGTCCAGCCCGCCGGCGGACATGCCAGCTGGTCCCTTAGGTCTCCCGGTGGGAAGAGAGCCACAGGAGGGGGGACATCCCCTCTGGACTGATTGAAAAAGCAGTCGATTGGCTAGCCGCTACGATTGCTTTTACAAGCAAGCTGAACACCGGCTCTAAACAGTACTAGGATGATGCCTGCAGCAGCAGGCATCATCCCGGTATAACTGCTTGAAGTCCAGTGACATATGGGTACATTGCTGGTTCGCAAGTGGTTATTCGTTACTAAGGGCTGTTTTCCACCAACCTGTTTGACCAGTCCCTTGAAACCTCTTTACATTCACTCTTTGGACAGCAGTTGCACTCTGACGTCATCAAATACATTGCAGGAATAGCAATCGAGCCTTGTACATGGAAACCGCAAGGGCCTGCCCACAGCCCAGAGCATCTAAGAGAGGGGCACCAGAGCCTGCCAGAGAGAGGGTAAGTATTACATGCTATTTTTGTACCCACTGGAAGGGTATTTTTGTTTAAAAAAAAAAAAAAAAAAAAATCTGAGTCCAGCTTTAAACAATCTGCTACCAGGCTTTTAACAAGTTTTAGGTAGTCTTGAAGCCTGTTTAAAGTGACAGTCAGCACCCCCATTGAGATCAGTGTTTAACCTCTCCAAACTAGAGGGGGGTGGTGCTTTAAGGTGTATGTTAATCCTAATAATAAACTCTTGTTTGCTTTCTTTTACTATGTTAAATATATCATATGAAAGTATTTGATAGCTGTTCAATAAGTGTTTTTTTTTTGTTGAGTGTAAATATGTTTGTATGTTATAGAGAAGATAAGGGTGGGGGGCGGGGGGTTGTTGGTGGGGCCCTATAGTCCTGTCCTAGTGTGACAACTCTGCTTCTCCCTAGATACAGTACAATGAGTGATTGTCACTAGAGGATGACCTCAGGTGTGTTTAGACATGAGCTATCATGCTGGAACTGTCAAAGGCAATGGTCAATCATAGGCAGCAGGGGCATTCCCCACCCAGCAGCCACACATATGCAAGAGGCATGTGTAGGTGAGGCAGGGATGCCTCAGCTGTCTGTGATTGGATATTGTCTTTGACAGCTTCCCAATGGGATAGCTCAGGTAGGTTTAGATTCCTGTGCAAACACACCTGAGCTTGTCCCTTGCTGTCACCCTAGGAGAAGTGTGTTGCTGACTGGATCACCAGGTGAAAATAAAGGAGAAATGTCTGAGGGGGGAAAAAGCTAATTGACCCACTCAGTAAGTACTGGTTAGCTGCAATATATTACATGTTTTACTCTTGGGTTTCAGTAACATTTGTTAACAAAGCTGCTTGAAGCTGGCTAAAAGCTTCAGAAATGTTTTGCAAAAGCTTGCTGTGCACATTGATATCATAGAAGCTGAATCCCATATGTACTGGGTCTTAAAACATGACGAAGATCATGTGTAAGGAGAATTAATGCAAATAATTGATAGAATGTTAAATATATTTAAAAGGTAACCTGTGAAATAAGGACAGGTGATATATTTTACATGGCGTTCATAAGATGCAGTCACCCTTAACTTGGCATCTCACAGCTCAACGTTCAAACCAAACCAGTGGATCCTGTGGTGGAGGGTGGCGCACAAGTCCAGCAGGTGTTAAACATTGAGTGCTTGGCAGACTTTGATGAGGCTCCACTAACTAATATTAAATTCAGGTATTGGGAACCTGCTGTCTGCAAGAGTAACATTTATGGTATTTATGTTTCTGTTTAACCTTTTCCATCTACGTCTTTTAGGTACGGAGGAACGTTACAGAGCATCACATTAAAATTGCCGATAACCATCAACAAGTTCTTCCAAGCAACTGAGATGCCGTCCCAGGACTTCTTCCAGCGTTGGAAACAGCTCAGCCTGTAATTACGTTATCTTGTATTCAAAGAGTGTTTGTATTGCTTGAGAAAATAATCACATTTTTAGAGTGCTTTTGGGAGGCTGATATTAGCAAGTCTTTTGCTTATCAACAAAACTCATTCCTTTTTCCATAAAACCCCTGCGGATCAAGTTTGACTGAACTAGTTTGGTGTCTCTTAAGCCAGCCATAGACTGTTCGAATTTCAGACACTTAAGCAGAGACGGCCAATATTCGAACTATGTATGGGCAGGCTGATTGTACCGACATTTTAATGCGATTATTGCTTCCCCTACCAGGAGAACACAATAGCTCCATGGGAGGAATTCCCCCATGAAAACTGACTTTTTTTCTTTTCTGCAACCCATGGTTGCAGGAAAGAACATCGTAGCATCTTTGGCCAGCTTTAAATTGATCTTTCTGGTGAAATGACAGGTGAGTAACACTTCTGCAACTTGTAGGTGCTTTGCTCACATAGTAGACTCTGGCAACATGGATTTTGCATTTCCGGGTAGAGGGCACATGCGCCGCCATACCTGTGCCGCCATTGATGGATACAGCTGTCGATCACCGGGTCCCGGCCGGAGATTACCCAGCAATCACTGAGGAATACTGACGGGAGAGGTCTGTATGTAAACGATACAGATCTCTCCCGTCAGCACCAGCATGCTGCTTTATATTGCTCTGCATAAAACACACACAGGCCACATAGTTAAACAGCACACGGTTAACCCTTTGATTGCCCCAGATGTCAACCCCTTCCTGCCCAGTGCCATTAGTACAGTGTCAGTGCTTTTTTATTAGCACTGTCACTGGGAATGTCAGTGGCAGTCAACACCCAGTGTCAGAATGCCCACCGCAGTCCCGATTATAAGACGCTGATCGCCGCCATTACTAGTATTAAAAAAAAAAAAAAAAAATTCCAGTATATATACACCGCCATTTGTAGATGCTATAACTTTCATTTAAACCAACTAATTTACATGTATTGGGATTTTTTTTTTTTTTTTTTTTTTTTTTTTTTTTTTAGCAAAGGCATGTATTAACATTTTTTTTTTTTTTTTTTTTTTTTTTTTAGCAAAGGCATGTAGCAAAAAAAAGGACATAAATTTAATTTGGGTGCATCGTTGCATGACCGCGCAATTGTCAGTTAAAGTAACGCAGCGCCGTATCACAAAAATTGGCCTGATCAGGAAGGGGGGTAAATCCTCTGGAGGGCATGTGGTTAAAGTGCATCTAAAGCCAAAATTACAGTAAAAATGATGATATACATACACAAGTGTTTAAATACAGTCTGTGTATTGTATTTTTGTTTATTTTTCTAGGCCACAGCAAGAAGCACAGAAGATTTTTAAAGCCAACCATGCGATGGACTCTGAAGTGACGAAAGCAAAGGTTAGTCACGTACTCAGGCTATTCACACATCGGGTAATCGCTCTGTAATTCATCACACAGTTTTGAAAATCTAAGTTATTCTTCTGGGTGTACCTGGCATCCAACTATTTCACCACATATAAAGAGAACTGACATTATTCCATTGTGATGGTTAATCGTGAAAAAAAAAAAAAAAAAATAGATAGATATCTAATATAATTTTTTTTTTTTTTTTTGCGCTAGAACTACTCTTTCCTTTATCAGGTCAACCCATAGCTACTTACCAAGTTATGGCTTGCTGTCAGTATTGTGAAGCTGAGGACTTATCAACGTTTAAAGAAAGGATGACATGCAGGATTTTTGTAGTTGGCCATTTTGTTTGAGAACAGAAACAGTCACCACTAGCTTGTAGCAATTGTGGGAATATCCTTTTAGAGATCAGAAGTGGATTTCCACTGTATGCCATTGATCAGGTCTGAGATGTGTGCTTTTTGAAAGTGTTAGGGCTTGATGGGTCAACTGCTTGTCAGTCAGTTCTGAATTATCTCAGGGGAACCTTAAACAGATGCCATCAACACAAGCCCACAACCTTTCAACTCCTAAACATAGCAATGCACAGTATTGCATGAGTGTGCCTTGTTGTGCGCTATGATGCAAAAACCTAGTAAATGCACCTTTTTGACTTTCAAATAAATGGACTGCCTTTGTGCAAAATTAAGTTTTAAACTTTTTTCTGTACTCTTGATGCATTCATCTGAGTCCACCTTCCACTTCACAGCAATGCACAGGATTCCTGACTTAGATTGCATCTACTTTGATTGTTTCTCTACCTACACTATATTCCTTGGAAATCTTTTTTTTTTTTTTTTTTTTTTTTTTTTTTTTTTTTTCCCAGCCCCATATTCTTCCTCTTGATGTTATTGGGACATAATCAACATAAAAAATGTTATCTTTATTATTGAATACTATATTGATTTCTGATCCTTCAATTGTTTTTATGTATTCTAGCTGTTGGGATTCGGTACTGCACTACTAGAAAATGTGGATCCTAATCCAGACAATTTTGTGGGTGCTGGTATAATTCAGACTAAGACTGTTCAGGTTGGCTGTCTCTTGCGTCTAGAGCCCAACATCCAAGCTCAGGTAAATGGAGAAAGGCATAAGGCAACACAGAGTTTTGTGTAATAACATGCTTACACATTCCAACCTATACAAACGTATACGGGCTTATGGGAAGTCTGTCATCTATAAAATGCTAAGAAATATGTAAGGTTATCTGCATGTTTTTATGTAAGATTTATTGAATGTCATACCTTGTTGGATTTTATAATGTGTTATCAGGCCTATTTGGAGTTTGTGACCATTGTACTAAACTGATAAAAGATCAAATCTGGTTGGATGCTGTTGGTCACTGCACCTTATGCAACATAACTTCTCTCCAAGTTGCCTTATTATATTACTACTAACATGAACCATCATATACAATTTTCCACACCTGTGCACATACACAGATCTTTCCACTTTTTGGATAACCTTTCATGTAGTGTACTTTTCTATGTGAGCTACTGTTGTAATAGAACACACAAAAAATCTGTAGCTTTTTTCTGGTACTGAATTGGAAGCCGGTTGTATGATAAAGGATCTGTCCACAACTATACCACTTTCATTTCATTCTCTTAGGCCATGATATTCTTACAAATTGTAATATAAATCCTCAATTTGTAAGACATCTTTTACATAAACTGTGTCGTAATTTTTAAATCAAGAAATAGAAGAAAATTATAAAATACCATGCGAGAGATCCTTCTGAGTTTAGTACTATATATCATAATCTTTAACCAGTTCCCGAGCACGCTATAGCCAAAAGATGGCTACAGCGCGGTCGGCTAGTTCTGGAAGGGCGTCCATGGACGTCCTCCCAGAACCACACCCTTTCGGACACAGCTGATCACTTGACTAAGGATGGGCCAGTCACAGCCGCTTTAACCATGTGACCAGCTGTGTCCAATTACAGCGGATCACAGGGTAAATAGGAAATGCCAGTTTTCAGCAGTCCTCTGCTCACACTGACATCGCGTGAGGAGAGGAGATCCTATAAGTGGCATTTTGCAGGGGGATATCTACACTGATCATCAGTGTCTTGGTGATCAGTGCGGCCAATAGTGGCAATCAGTGCCCATCAGTTAAATCTGTGACCGTTAGTGCCCATCAGTTCCATCAATCAGTGAAGGCGAAAAATTACTTATTTACAAAACTTTATAACAGAAACTAAGATTTTTTTTTTATAAGCTCAAAAAAATCTGAAGAATATATTTAAAAAAATATATGCATTTTTTTAAATATATTCAGATATTTTTGAACATATAAAAAAGTAATTTTAACATATATTTTTACATGTATTTAAAAATACAAATCTACATTTTTGGAATGCATTTACAAAGACATTTGTATATTTGAAATGCATTTTTATTACAAAATATATTAAAAATATTTTTAAAAATACATTTCAGCAAGCAGTATGTATATACATACACACACTATATGTGTATATATTGAATATGGCCAAAATTGTAGCATTTCAAATATATGGCAATATATTTGGGAAGAATATTTTTAAAATATATTTAAAATATATTTTTCTTCCATATGGGGAGAGCTCTGAAAGCTGAAAATTGATCTAGGCAGGAAGGGGGTAAAAGTGCCAGGTAGGCAAGTGGTTAAGGTTAAAAGAAATCCGTGAAAATGTGTGATATCTACTTTATCTGTAGGATTGTGAAAAACCCATCAAGGGCTCTATGCAGAATGAAGGGTGGTTGCACTCCAAGCTCATCAAAGAGTTCCAGATGATCATAAACTCTGCAGTGTCCCAGGGAGCGATTATAAGAGATTGTTTGTTTGCCTAAAAGAACATTGTTGAGGTCAGCTGAAGCGCCTGCTAGTAGAAGAAAACTGAGAAGTGTTATTGGTCAAAATGTATTGATATACTTTGGTTTTTTTGAACAATAAATATGTAGCTTTTGACCATGAACTCTTCAATCTCTTCTGTGTTTTTTTTTTTTTTTTTTTTTTTTTTTTTTCTACGGCTGCATCTTCTGACCTCATTCTTACTCTTTAGGGCAAATGTCATCTCCTTAAAAAAAAACTTGCTGACATTAATGTAAGTTTTATGTAAAGTGGAACTTTTATCTAGTCTTTTTTTTTTTTTTGTGAATTTATCAGTATGGTGGAGCAAAGAGCCGTAACTTCATGTCATTTGTTTTTTTTTTTTTTTCCCCCCAGATGTATCGACTTACCTTGAGAACCAGCAAAGAAACTGTCTCCAAGCACCTATGTGAGCTTTTATCAAAGCAGTTCTAAGCCAACAAGAATGTGATGGCAACAGACAGTAAAACTGGCAAACTTACACTACGTGGAGGGTTTACCATGCATCGAGCAAATGTGTGTGTTAGTGTGCATGAGACAGCAGAGGCAGGGCGTTCCATGCCACCTCTTTGCGGATCAACCTTGTGTGTGCGTGTATGTGTGTGCAGTCTACGTCCGGTAAAGCCCAAGAGACTCGGAGCGAAAAAAGTCAAGGCTAACTATTAATATTCTTCATGTCCTAAGATGTGTGGTCGTCCTACTAGATTTTGTCGTTTTTGCTGTGACTTTAAATTTAAACTTGTCTGAAAGGGATGCATGAAGCCGGGGGCCCTGACGTTCTGGACGAGGGGTGCCTCCCTCCATGCGGCCTCTGCCTGTACTGTGGATAAGGGATCAGGCATCAGTGCATGCTGGCCCAAATGCATATCACTTGCTATACAGTGGAAAAGCTGCTTTATCGGAAGGATGTTTTGACAAACTGAAGTTTTCCACAAAGGGGAAACAGTATCAGTGGTCACTTGTATTCTTAACTCTAGTATTGTCTGCCCATGTGCTCTATCATCTCTTTTGTTCCTTTCATGTTCCTTCTCACCTCTATCCTTAGAAATTACATGCATTTTAGCACTTATATTATTGCAGAAAGTTAAACAACTGGGAGTAGGTAGCTGAACAGGGCTGTGCCAGTTTTGTGAAGCCAAATTGCCTGCAGAACCATATTTGCAGCATCTTACAGTCCTTTTTTTTTTTTTTTTTTTTTCTTAATTTTTTTTTTAAAGGATCAGTTTCACGTTCAATTTTTAAATGGAATGTTATCAGATAAGCCTAAATATACAGTTGTAAAGGAATCTTTGTTCCATGTATACGGGGTCTTGTAGAACGCCAGTGTTATGTCAGAAGTATTTCCTCCTTGTCTATCCATGAAGAAATTAATATAGAATTGCATCTCGCTGTACCCAGAACCTAAAATCCTAGTGTACTATGACATAGCCTGCCATCTGATGTATTTGTAAATGAAATGATGAAGTTGTCGGTTTTTTTTTTTTTGTTTTTTTTTTCCTCCCCTAAGCATTCCATTTTTCAGTAGCATTTTCAGTGAGCTTTACATTAACTTTTTACCATGTGAAATCATTCCATTTACGTACCTTTTGTTCTGCTCTGTCACATGTTTTCTTTGTGTAAACCAAAAAAACTGGATAGAGTTGTGTATTTGGAGCCTGTTTCTTCAATGATTGCACAACTGCCTGTGCTCGTCGGTCATATTGGGTTCATCCCATGCCAGGGTCTTCGTCTCTAATACATCATCAAAGATTCACTTTACAATATCGTCTGTGGGAAGAAGTAAGTGAAACTGAGGACATCCAATAGAATGTGAAGTCAAGGCTAATCGGGTTCTATGCACCCTGTTTATTCTGTGCCTGTTGCCCTTATAGTGCCTACACCTGAAGTTTTGATATTGTGATCTAATCTAAAAAATATCAGTTTGTGGGCATTTTTCCATGTAGAACCTGAAAAGAAAAAAAAGAAAAAAAAAACTTTTCTTAAGCTATTGCAATTTCAGTTAATTTGGTGGAAACTGCAAGCATGTGTCTGGCACCTTCAAAAGTCTTTCGCAAACAAGATACAACTTTCTAATTGGGATCTACAAAGAAAATGACTGATGCTAGTGTAGCAAGGTTAAGAGCTTATTCAACAAAAGTCAGTGGCTTGCTGTTGGGGGAGAGTCCAGTAAAACAATTTGCTTTTTTTTGTTAGTCATTCTGTATCCTTCCAATTCATTATTAGTATTATACTGACACACTTTAGCATCAGTGCTTTAAAGTATTACACATGCAATTTTTTCATTGTCTTTTCTTATTTCTTAATGTCCTTCCCAATTCAGTAAAGCTTTTATTATAAAGATCTGCTGAGTTCACCTCATGCTTGTTACGTATCATAAAAATACTGCTACCTTCAAGCTGTCATTGGCAGTGAGTCTTTGAGTTGCCTGTTATAAAGAGCTGAAAATGCAACCATTCTATATGAAGATAAAATACCGACACACAAGATGAAATGTAGTTTCATTAGTAATAGTCTTACAATAAACAGTTTTACACCCAATGCAATTTTTTGAGCATTTTCACATGAAAATTATCTGATAACTCATGTGGCTTTGTGAATTTAGACTATTATCAGAGAAAATCTCAAGTAATTCTTATGGTTTTACAAACCCTTTAAAGCCTACCTCTGCTTTTTCGAAGGGGCAAATATATATGTATACTAGTTTATAGTGTAAAGTACTCGCTCAGCACTGTAAAAAGAAATAACGGCTCTTTTTGTGTTTGTAGTCCCAAATACAATCTTGTTACCATTGATGTAATTAAATATCCATCTCGAAATATACGTGCTATCCACAGGTCCTTGCCCTCCAATTTGGTCCATCCTGACCCTGCCTAACAACCTCATGCTTACTAGTTTTACGATCAGTTGTGTTTGGACTGTAATTGCCACATTTGTCTATTATTTTTTTTTTTTCTTTTTATGGTTGGTTGATGGCCTGCCAGTGTATATAGGTATATATAAATATATAAAATATATTATGTAAATGTTAATACGTGATCGAGAGGTACATTGATACATCGAGGATACATCCGTGCACTTTTTTTTTTTTTTTTTTTTTTTAAATAAATCTAATGAAGGTCCTGAAAATAGATTAGCAGCCCAGTTGAACTCACTCTGCCATCTAGTGGTCTATTAAAAGAAAAACAATGTAGATTCTCCTACTGGTCTCAACTATGGACAATATACAGTATCTAGTTATGTTTACTCAGTGAAGCTTTTTTCAGGTATCTGCATCGATTAAATTGGTACTTCTGCCACTGTTGAAGGGGGTGTCCCTACTTTACGATCTCATTTTTTATTTAGCTGTATTTCTAAAACATGTCCTACCATTTAGACAACTGTTGTAAAGTGTTATTGAATCAGCTAAATCAAATCTTCCTGCTTGTGGCCAGCTTAACAAGGCAGGGAACCAGTAAAGCTACATTTTGGTTTTTCCTATAATAAGGGACCATTGGGGACAAATATGATGACAGAACATGCTTGAAATGTGCATTCACTTTAAATGATATATTTGTACTTGACCATGTTCTCTAAGATGCCAATGTGATGGGTTGCCTTTCCTGGCATAAACCTTGTTTATAGCAATATTGTCTACAACTGCAGTCTCCTGCCAGATCGATCAAATCCTGCAGTACAGAAGTTGTTTCTGGATGTCTAGCCGCTCCCTCACTTGGTTCAAAGCCAACCTCCAGTCTCCCAGTAGTGTCTGCTAAAGGTAGCCAGGACCAGCTAAACTGGAAGTAAAAACAGCCATAATTTTTGTTCAACAAAGGAGTTCCATCATATTAGCCATTTATTATTATGTACTTATGCCCAAATATTTAATGGTGAAACTGCATTATGAAGAAAAGTATTTTCTATCAGCTGGAGACTTGGCCGAATACCATAAAATAAAGTTACCAATTCTTAGACTGCTAATAATTCCTGGTTAGAAGTTAAATTCAATGTAAAATATCTTGGCTACTTAAAAGTAAAGGCAAGTTCAGATAGATATTTATAACTGTTATTGTACAAAAGCATTTTAGGGTTACTGGCCTCCCATTAGTGTCACTTTGGAGATAATTAGCTAGTCAACTTGGCTCAGGGACAGAATTCTGCAGGAGATTGGACAATCCCCTTTAACTGTTCCCACCTCTTCATATATGGCATAAAAAATATTTGAGGTGCAAACTTGTCACATCCTATACCAAACCACTGTTAAACGTGTGTCGAAACCAAAATTAAATTTTAACGCAGCTGAATTAGTGTGGGGAATTTGGTCTCATTTATGTTATTTTTTTTTATAGCAGTTTCATTTTGTTTTTGCATTTCTGGATTTTATTTTTTTATTGTAATTTTTTTTTTGTTTGTTGCTCTGGAGTGCAGTTCCTGCTGGTGCTGTTTCTTATGTTGTGTAGTGCACTGCTAGTTATAATGGCTCCTGTCTGAGAATTTGTGTGTGTAGCTGCATTGGGATGTATTGCTGAAGCTTAGTGCGTTCTGTACCATATTAGACTCACATATTTTCTATCTGTATTTTATAAATTGTATCATTCCCACCGAAAAAAAAACTCCTGGAATAAAATGTTGAGCCATGGCGTCCTCTCATTTAACCCTAGTTTGAGTCCTCTTTTCTTTTTTTTTTTTTTTTTTAACTACGTATAATGCAAGTTGCTGAAAAATGAATGTGGTACACCTGGACATTATTATTATACAGGATTTATATAGCGCTAATAGTTTGCTCAGTGCTTTACAATATAACCGAGAGACAATACAGTTCAATACAAGAGGGAAAGGAGGGCCCTGTTCCTTGGAGCTTACAATCTTGGAGATGAGGTGAACATAGGATTTGACTTACTGAGCTGTGCTGGAAGGTAATTGGCCTAAAATGTTGATTTGGTTTTTATAAATAAGTACATGTTGGGTCATGTTTTATTAAGAAAATGTGAGGAAAGTATGGATGGTGTCTTTGCCAGTCTCTAACAAAAATGCTAGACAGATTCAAAACCAGCATAACCAACACATAAACCTTGCAACAGGAATGTAGCCAGTGAAAGCAGGACTTCTGATTTGCATACTTGTTCCAAGTCAGGTACTCTAAAAAGTCAAAGGGTCAGAATGGCAGCCAGTATTTTTAGAAGCAGGTATTTTTTAATATACAGACGATTGCCAGAGAGAACCTTTAAAACCTTTTTCATGAAAGAAACCTGGAGGCCTCTCATTCTGAGTATACTTTGATAACTGAGTTTTAATGCTCAAACTTGAAGGGAATATGGAGTCTGCCACTGCCCACCTTTCTTTCTGAAAGTGCTAGTTCAATAGCTGACACAGTCCTTGTGGCTTCGTACTTTGGGTTAAGGACCTAAGAAAAATGGGAAGATAAGCATTCCTGGTTTTCCCTAATCTCTGTACTTGTT